AATGCTTCATACAGTAGGTAGGGGTTGAATAGCTGGTATTTGGAGAAGGTAAAGTACCCAGGGAGGAGGTGTAGAACGAAGTGAGCTTTGCAGAACTGTGGGAAAGCTGGCAAAGACAAAAGCAAGCAGCTCCCCTGGACCAGAAGGCCAGGAGTGGAGCAGCTCTCGGTTCTGGACAGTGCCTTGCTTATTATGCAAGTGTTTTGGAATGGGATTTCAAAACACACGTGAAATTACTGAGACAAGGGACTTAAGCTTTTGAAAACAAGATGGGAAAGGTGATTTGGAGAGTGAGAAGGAAGCAGCACATCTGGATAATCAATAGGTTGCTGAGGTTAACAATTTAAAAATAAGATCCTGAAGCTTCTTTTAGAGTTCAGAAATAGGAATAGTTCTCTTTCACTACCAGATATGGCTTTTAGGGAGATGGTAACCCTGTTAATTTTAAGGTGACAGTAACTGTCCAATTAGAAAAATCTCTCACATTAAAGACTATAGATAATTGTAACCTTGGTCATATGGAAATGTAGCAAAGTTCTTAAGTTAGATAATCTGAATATTTCCTGTGGTAGGTTAGATTTGGTTATCTTTTGGAAATCTTATTACTCTAATCATGCCAGAGACTGGTTTTTGCTAAATTTGGATTCTTGGAGGGATTTTTAAAGTCCCCCCTGCCCCCCGCCATCATTTCTAAACTTTTCATTTTAAGTGATTTACTTCCTAGGTCAGATGTTCATCTCATAACTTACAGCTCTACCCGTAACACATTATCATGTTACTGAACAGCATTTATTCCAGCATATATTTATTTAAGCATACACTATGTGCAAAGCACTTGGCTAGGTACAGAGGTAGATTTAAGAAGGCCAAGACAGGCCCCCTCTCCTTATATACATATACTGTGTTTAAAAAGCATGATAAATGTCATAAAATGCAAATAAAATACAGCAAGGGAAAGAGTTATAATTAAGGAGAGACATGTAGGAGGTAAAAAATTGAGCTTGGCCTTGAAAGTTGTTTATGACTTAAGTCAAAAGTGGGAGAAAAGGACCCTTAGGGTATTGGACAGCGGAAGCAAAACCTGGGAGATGGGAAGATACGGGGCCGGGTTCAAGGAACCAGAGGGCCCAGTCCCATGGCCATGGAGGCTCCACAGGCTACACATAAAGTTGGCAGGGGCTGCTGCTGAATTGGCAGGGCTCCTTTCTCAAGCTCTGCTCACACACAGCATAGGGTTAAGAATGAATTTTCTTCTAACTCTTGCTGCAAGTTATACTGTAGTATTATATGTGCTAGAGCATCTTGTAGCTGAAGATGCTGTGGTTGTTGTGTGTGCATTTGTATTTTGTAATCTTAAGACTGCATGGTCCTCTTGGTGCCGCAAAGGCACTGCCTGATGGCTCATACTGTCCATCTGTGACCAGTGAAGATAATTCATTGTTATCTTCTGTTCTAGGAGATGCCAACAGACAAATTAGCGAATACAAATTTAAACTTTCAAAAGCAGAACAGGATATAACCACCTTGGAGCAAAGTGTAAGTACTTTTATATAGTACCAGGTGATCTAAATGTCCTTCCTGCATCTAAGTGGCTAACAGCCCCATGAGTGCCTGGGTTGCCTTGGGATGCCCTTTGCAGTTGGATCGATTAAAGTTCTGTATTAAAATAGAAAAGCCAGCAGAGAGCACTTAGTGGGGCATTTTAGCCTTCTGTTTTCTCTAAAAACATAGGAAACTATAGCTGTCTTTGTTTTTTGTAGATATTTCAAGAGAATTCAAGATCATCATTTGCAACAAAATCCCTTAGTATACATTCCAGAAAGTCTAAGAACTTTTCCATTTAGTGAGTCTCTTTGGCACTTAAACAATATGGTCATCATAAAACTTAGCATGGGAAATTGGCCCTAAAATGACTCTACAGCTGTCATCCTCTCTGGGGACATTTCTTGATTTATAAATAGCAGTGAGTTCCGAGAGGACCTGTGACTCACCCTTAGGGAACTTGTTAGTGTTAGATTACTTGGCATTTATAACAACATTGTATTTCCATCTTGGCTACCAAAAAGTGGTGACTTCTGGTGCCCAGTAGTAGAAGCCTGTGTTCTTATACTTACAGATTAGCCGGCTTGAGGGACAGGTTATGAGATACAAAACTGCTGCTGAGAATGCTGAGAAAGTTGAAGATGAACTGAAAGCAGAAAAAAGGAAGCTACAACGAGAGGTACTTAATGGGCTTCTTGGAAAATACATTCCTAAACGTATCTTCTGGAAACAAACTCTTCGCTGTGTAAGAAGTGTGATACTTAAGGAAACAGCAGTGGAGTCACTTACTAATTTGTGTTGGTTTTTGACCTGCATACTGACTGCCATTTACTTTTATGTTTTGGTCAATTTAGAAAGTAAGTAAAAAGACAGTTTTTGTTTTTGCTTCAGATCAGGGCTGTTTCTCCAATTTCATCCTTTCTGTAATTAAAACAAATAAAGAATCCTCAGTATCATCATTTAATACCTCTACCTGACAGAAAAAATGAGGCTGTGTGTCCTGCACAGGGCCGTCACAATTAGCAGTGCTTTCATTTTCCAGGAAGTTGAAATAAAGTAGCGCTGGATGTTGTTTCTGACCACATGTAGTGACTGCACTCTCCCTGTCTCCAGTTACGAACAGCACTGGACAAGATCGAGGAGATGGAGATGACCAACAGCCACCTGGCCAAGCGGCTGGAGAAGATGAAGGCCAATAGGACCGCACTTCTGGCCCAGCAGTAGGAAGACCACCCTTCGGCCTGGGTGCTGCTCCTTGGGGCCCTACCTAGAGGGACTGACTTTTGTCCATTGACACAAACCCCTTTTAGTACTGTTTTGAGTTTTGTCGTTAAAACAGCCACCTTTGTATTTTATAATTTATGAGCGAATGAAGCCGGTTTGAATCTTCGTGAATGAACACTTTGGATTTTGTTGTAGTTTGATTCTAGACTAAGAACCAGTCCATGCTGTTTTTATTTTTTATCTCCATAATTGTTGAATCATGTTTACTTAACATCTTCCCCCAGCTGCCTCAGTAACTGGGCACTCGGAGGCCTTGGCACGGGTTCTGGAGGACAGACAGCAATTCTGTAAGTGCTCACTGAGATAATACTTGCTGGAGACCTCAGAAAACACAAGTGCCTTCTCCATGGTGCAATTCAGACTTCGGTGATCTCCAGTGGTCAAAAGACATTTACCCTTAATATCAGACAACATTTATATTTTGGTGAAGAAACAAGTTCTTGGGTGAGGAATCTGTGTTTCACTCAAATTTATATGTCTGGAGGAAAAAAGCCTTTTTTTGTAAAATATTTAAATTTATATAAGAAAATGTTAGAAAAAAATATGGGGAGTGTATATAAAACTTGCTTTATTGCATGGGGCGGGGGAAGTCCAGGCCTAATACTCTTAAAGTAAGAGTCAGGTCCTTTATTCTTCAATACAACTGTGCTGTACCTGGTAAAGTATTTTATCTGCTGCTTATGTGTGGAATGAAACCTCAAACAAACCCAAAGGGGGCGGGTATGGCAGGGCGGGCAGGGCGGAAATCTGCCTGAAGATTCTATTAAATACACCCTTTTGCCAACCACAGTTGGCTACTGACATGTTCATTTTGTTACAGAAGACTTTAAAACAAATCATGGCAACCACATCTGTCTTCTTTTGTCTCCTTCTCAAGGAAAAATAATCTGGAATGTAGAACTTTTAAAGACTTTAGTTTCATCTTTAGAGGTACCCTGTCCAAGAGGTTTTTTTAAGTCATGGAGTGCAACTGTTTTGCAGGATTTATGATTATCTTTTTGCTCTCAGTACCCAGGTGATTTTATTGAAATTATTATTTTATCTTTAAAGTGTTTACACAGAAAACATATTGGGGAAAATCTAGTGACTAAAGGCACATGAGATAATAAAACTAGACTTTAAAAAGGTCACTCAAAAGTGAATGAAATCTCTAATATTTGTTCCTTCTTTAGCCCTTCATTTAAAAAATATGGATACCACTCTCCGGAATTTAGATGATTTTCCTATATATTTTCTTTTCTTTTGAGACAGAGTCTCGCTCAGTAACCCAGGCTGGAGTATAGTGGCACAATCTTGGCTCACTGCAACCTCCACCTACCGGGTTCAAGCGAATTCTCCTGCCTCAGCTTCCTGAGTAGCTGGGACTACAAGTGTGCACCACCAAGCCCGACTAATTTTTGTACATCCAGTAGACACAGGGTTTTGCCATGTTGTCCAGGCTGGTCAAACTCCTGACAGCAAGTGGTCTGCCTCCCAAAGTGCTAGGATTACAGGTGTGAGCCACCGTGCCCTGGCCTCTACCTTTTCTAACAGTAGCAACAGTTGTGTGGTTGGGGGGCTGGGTGGAAAGGTGTTCTAAAGCGCAGGTTTATTCTAGAACTCCATGCCCACTAGAAGCAACATACTGTGTGACCCAGCTCTTAAAGCTCAGAAAACCCCTCTTCCTCTCTACTCAAGGTCACTCAGCCTGTGCCCCACCTGGGCTCATGGAACCTCATTTCTGAGATGCCCTGGTCTACTTTGTGGAGTTCTTATTGTTCAAAACTGACCTTGGCTATTTTGTCGCACAATAAATATGACTAACTCATACTTATGCCAGGGGCAGTGGCTCACCCCTATGTTCCCAGAATTTTGGGAGGCCGAGGCGGGCAGATCACCTGAGGTGAGGAGTTAGAGACCAGCCTTGCCAACATGGTGAAACCCCGTCTCTACTAAAAATACAATATTAGCCGGGCATAGTGGCACGTGCCTGTAATCCCAGCTACTCGGGAAGCTGAGGCAAGAGAATCGCTTGAACCCAGGAGGTGGAGGGTTGCAGTGAGCTAAGATTGCACCATTGTACTCTAGCGAGTGAGACTCCGTCTCAAGAAAGAAAAAAAAACAACTCATACTTACTATGGATGAAATAAGGACTGTTTTCTTCCTTTCCTCAAGTTTTTTTTTTCCTTAATAATTAGCTTTGGTTATTGAATACACTAGATGATCAAGTCAAGCTTTCTCCATGGTCAATGCCATCAGAGCCTGTGACATGTTCAGGACCTCTTTTAAAAGACATCTGAACTGACACAATATACACATAATAAAATTAAATAAGAAATTATGTTAGGACACATCTGACTATTTATTTGTAATCAATCCACCATGTATAAAAGAACACTACCAGTTAGTTGGAAGGCAACTGTAAGTCTTAAGTGCTCCCAACAACATCGGAATACAAAGAACGAACCAACACATCCCACAGTGCACAAATGACCATATTTAACACCTCTCAAAGACTTTGTATAGATCAGGCAGGTTAGCAAGCTGCAGGATATTACCATCTTCTGTGAAATGTTTAGGAGGCAGAATGTGGGAGCGCAAGGCTTTATAGACAATGTGTTCCACAGTCCACTTCCAGGAGTTTGAAATGGAGCCAGACACTTCACTCTGGAAAACACATTAGATGTCATAAGCCTCCCTGATTGCATCCCAACATATACTGGCATCCTGGCTGATGGGATGTGCACTGGGCCTGGAAAGGCTTGCTGGCTTGTAATGGGCTGTGTTATCTAGTGCTTTTGAAGTGTATTTTGTGGGCCAGCCTCTCAGGGATCCCACAGGCCTGAACACAAGAGGATTTTTTTGTTGTTATTATTTATTTAAAGACAAGGTCTTGCTCTGTCACCCAGGCTGGAGGGCAGTGGTGTGATCATAGCTCAATATAGCCTCAAACTCCAGGGCTTAAGGCATCTTCCCACCTCAGCCTCCCCAAATGCTGGGATTACAGGTGTGAGCCACTATGCCCAGCCAACACGAGCTTTTTAAGGGGAGAAAAGCAGCCACTGCTCTGCAGGACTGTCTCCTGTGGAACCTTTACTTTCATTCAGGGAGAAAATGGTTTTTGTAGCAGGAGCTATAACATAATGTCTGATCCTGTACTTGGATGGCAACAGTAGGAACTACCTAACTTACATTAAAAACAGGGCTCTGTAAGTAGTCCTGTTTTCTAATCCCCAGGGAAGGAATGAAAATACTATTGGGGATGATTTTGCCTCATTATTCCTTTTCTCCAAGTGAGCCTTAGCTATCCCACGTGTAAGAAAATGTTCTTTCTTGGCCAGGCACAGTGGCTCACACGTGTAGTCCCAGCACCCCGTGAGGTTGCGAGTTCGAGACCAGCTGAGGCAGGAGAATCACTCCCGGGAGGCGGAGGTTGCAGTGAGCCAAGATGGCACCACTGCACTCTAGCCTGGGCAACAAGAGCGAAACTCCATCTCAAAAAAAAGAAAATATTCTTTTTCAGCTGTAGTTCCTTTTATTGAAGTAAAATTTCCAATCAAATTAGATAGTTGCCACACAGTTTGGTAAATGTATTGCTTGCCTTCCCCACTGGAATGAGATTTCCCTAGAGGCTTTGGCCAAGAGAACTGAATCTCTGCCCTCTGACCTACAGACTTGGAATCCTCGAGCATGCCAGCTGGGCTTCAGCCTCCCATCTGAAACTGGCTCACAGTGCTCAGGAGATGACTGTGAACAATCAGGGGTCATACTCTGATTAAAGTGGGCTACCCTTTGATTCTTAGAGTATTTCAACTCTCCTCTCCAACCTCCCCCAAGATACATGTTAATTTGAAAAGCATTATCAACTGACTGGAAAAAGTGACAATGAAACATTAGGAATCTAGACAACCTTTTTGTGTCAAGTTGACCTGTAAGAGGAGTTGCAGAGCCTTGTTTTCCTGGCAAGGCAGTGGTCAGATAAAGAGTAAGGCAAAAGCTAAGACAGACTGGCGCAACTGACCCAAAATCGGAAAACTAGCTACACACTTCAGACCTAACAGTGGGAGTATATGGACTCTCCTGCCTCAGACAATCTAACTCAACCTCCCATTTCACACTGTGATGGCTTGTGTTTTTATATTTGACAGTTTCTGAGGCCGCTCAAGGTATGTTCTCCATGAGCAGAAGGAAGTAAAACTCATGAATAAAAGCTGACTATTGTGTTTGAACGTTGTTGGGTACAAAGAAATCCCCAAAATTTCAGAGATGGGCAAGTTTCATTTCCTAAAGATTATATGGGGGCCTGTCCTAGTCCTGGGGTGCCAATGTGTATCACCACTGTACCTGCTGGCCTGAGAGGGTCGACTCCTCAGATATGTACTGCTTCCGGATGGAGTAGAACATAGCACATTCCTTACTGAGGCTTTCAAAACACTCCTTTTCTTCGTCCCAATTCACCTGGTCCAAATAATTCAATACCTCAAAATAGGTACGTATTTAAATACATTTTCATTCTAAATGGAGATCACAGACTACTTAAAGCTAAAAATCTAGGTGTGACATTTTAGGCATTAAAACTGTAAATGGGACTGCTGAATACTGCTGGGGATGAGAGGAGGCCCTCAACTGTCCGACCCTTATCATCTTTATCATTCCAGATCAAAGGGTGGTCAGGTGCCCTTTCCCTCCAGCACACATGCATGTCCAACATGCTTAGTATCTGCTTGATCACTGACCTCAGTGGCTAGTCGAAGAATGAAGATAGGCAGTCCCTCCAAAGGGGGCACATAGTTGTCAATCAGAAGGGGTAATCCAATCAGGCTCCCTTCCTGCTTGCAGGAAAAAGGACAAGGGAACAAAAAATAATGCTGTTATAGTTTAAACAACTCCCATTTCTCCAGTGCTTTCCCAGGTCTTGTCCTCATATCTGCCACTCTGGGTGACCATGTTACTTGTTTGGGCTGGGCACAGGGGACAGAGCGAAACACTTAAAAAGAATTTTTCATCCTGACACACAGAACAACCTTTTCTTTGGATCTGTTCGTGATCCAAAGAGTATATCAAGATGGAGAGCCCCAAAGATCAAGAAGTAAGAAGAAATGGGAGCAAACGGCATAATCTCATTTACAGTGGCCTGCAGGGGTTCAGCTCTCCATGTCTGGGTCCTTCACCCTGGGAATAGGAGAGGCATGAATGGATAACAGTACAGTTATGTAACCTAGAAATGCAAATAGGGAGTGGAGAGGATGTCATGTATGTCACTTGCTGCTTCTGAGGGGAGGCCTAGTCCTCGCCTTGGAACTTTTTTTTTTTTCTGAGATGGAGTCTCGCTCTGTCGCCTAGGCTGGAATGCAGTGGCGCAATCTCAGCTCAGATTCTCCTACCTCAGCCTCCCCAATAGGTCGGATTACAGGGACCTGCCACCACGCTCGGCTAATTTTTGTATTTTTTTTTTTTTTTTAGTAGAGATGGGGTTTTACCATGGTGGCCAGGCTGGTCTTGAACTCCTGACCTCAAGTCATCCACTCACCTCGGCCTCCCAAATCCCAAATCCTCTGCTGGGATTACGGGCATGATCCACCACCCCTGGCCAGAGCTTTTATTTTAAGAATACAACAGAGGTGTAAGAATGGCTGTCATACCTCATCAATTTCCAAAGAGAAATAGTCTGCAAGCATCTCAGCCTTCTTCTTCAGAAACTCAACAATGTATTCAGCAAGTCCTTCTTTAGGACCATCTTCCTCTGTCCAGCCACTCTCTGGACTATCTAAGGCAAGCATGGCGAGGTCAAAGAGCGGTGCTGGCTCCTAGGAAGAAGCAAGAACACGAAGGAGCAAGCTTTAACAGGGCATCCAAATGAAGCCTGAATTCCCACAAATCCACTATCAGAATGGCAGGTGAGAAACCACAGATTAACACTCATCCCCTATATTCCCCAAAGGAAGTGCCCAAACAATCCACAACAAAACCCCTTTCCTCCTCCTCCTCGTCAATGGCCATTTCAATAGAGAAGATATGACAGAAAGCCTGCTGAACAGATGGGAAGGGTGAAGCCCTGGGGAGGGCTGCCGGCCCTACTTTCCTTCTGTGTAGCCTCAACTTTCATATTTGTAGAAAATCATGAGGCAGATCATTTCTTTCTATTGCCTCATAACTAAAGTGGGGGATGTGGCTGGAGAGTAAGTTAAATTGAATGACATTTCAGGCAAATCATCTAATGCAGAAACAAAGGGAAACTATGGTTAAAAATAAGATCCCTAAGTTATCTTCTATTTCCCCCTTCTGATGTTGTTACTCATTCTTTTACATGTTATAAACCCACAGTACGTTATTTTTTCATATTAATAGAACAGTCTATTAATCAAGGATGTAACAATCCTAAATGTTTATGCACCCAATATCAGAGCTTTAAAATGTATGAAAGCAAAAACTAAGAACTGCAAAGAGAAACAGACAAATCATAATTACAGGTGGAACAGACAAATAATAATTACAGTTGGAAGTTTCAATACCCCTTTCTCAATAATAGGCAGAAAATCAGTAAAGATACAGGAGATTCTGACATCACTATCAACTTGATATACTTAGAACATTTGACTCAACGAGATCAGAATACAAATTCTTTTCAAGTACTCATGGAACATTTATCAACACAGGCCGTATTATGGGCCATTAAAAGTTTCAGTAAGTGTAAACGAAAGGCAAGTATGTTCTTTGACCAAGATAATGTTAAATTAGAAATTAATAACATTTTTTAAAACTCCTCAAGAGACTGGAAACTAAATAACAATTCTGAATCACCTATGGGTCAAAGAAGAAATCAAAAGGGAAATTAGAAGGTGTTTTGAACTGAATGAAAATGAAAACTATCAAAATTTGTGGGATGCTGCTAAAGCAGTGCTTAAGGGAAATTTATAGCACTTAACACTTGTATTAGAAAAGAAGAAAGGTCTGAAATCAGTGACCTCAGCTTCTACCTTAAGCAATGTGAAACAGGATGGGCATGGTAGCTTACACCTGTAATCCCAGCACTTTGGGAGGCCGAAGTGGGTGGGGAAGGGGGTGGGGGGATCACCTGAGGTCAGGAGTTCGAGACCAGCCTGGCCAACATGGTGAAAGCCAATTTCTACTAAAAATACAAAAATTAGCCAGGTGTGGTGGTGCATGCCTATAATGTCAGCTACTTTGGGAGGCTGAGGCACGAGAATTGTTTGAACCTGGGAGGCTGAGGTTGCAGTGAGCCGAGATCGCATTACTGCACTGCACTCTGGCCTGGGCAACAGAGCAAGACTCCATCTCAAAAAAAAAAAGAAAAAAATGTGAAACAGAAGACAAATTAAACCAAAATAGATAGAAGAAAGAATAAAGGTCAGAGCAGATATCAATGAAATAGAAAGAAAACAAAAACTTACAAAACCAAAAGTTAGTTCTTGGAGAAGATCAATAAAATTGATAAACCTCGCCGGGCGCGGTGGCTCAAGCCTGTAATCCCAGCACTGTGGGAGGCTGAGGCGGGTGGATCACGAGGTCAAGAGATCGAGACCATCCTGGTCAACATGGTGAAACCCCGTCTCTACTAAAAATACAAAAAATTAGCTGGGCATGGTGGCGCGTGCCTGTAATCCCAGCGACTCGGGAGGCTGGGGCAGGAGAATTCCCTGAACCCGGGAGGCGGAGGTTGCGGTGAGCCGAGATTGCGGTGAGCCGAGATCGCCCCATTGCACTCCAGCCTGGGTAACGGGGGCAAAACCCCATCTAAAAAAAAAAAAAAAAAAATTGATAAACCTCTAGCCAGATTGACCAAGTTAAAAAGAGAAGCCTGAAATTACCAATATCAGGAATGAGTGAGGTTATGTCACCAGAGATCCACAGGTAATAAAAGAAATATTACAAACAACTTTATGTCAGTAAACTTAAAAATTTAGATTAAATGGAAAAATTTCTTCAAAGAAACAAAATACCAAAGCTTACATAAGAAGAAATAGATAATCTGAATAGATCTATACTATTAAAGAAATGGAATTTGCATTTAAAAACCTTCCCTTGAAGAAAATCTCCAAGCCCAGATGGCTTCACTATTGAATTCTAGTAAAGATTAAGGAATAATTTTAACATCAATTCTATACAAACTCTTTCAGAAAATGGAAAAGGAGGGGATACTTACCAACTCATTCTATGAGGCCAGCATTACCCAGATACCAAAACCACACAAAGACTAAAACTATAAACTAGTTGCATTCATGAACACAGATACAAGAATTATAATAAAAATTTTAGTAAATCAAATCCTGTAATATGTAAAAAGGATTGTATATCATAACCAAGCAGGATTCATCCCAGGAATGCAAAGATTTATTTAACATGAAAATTAACATAATTCACTATATTAACAAACTATAAAAGAAAAATCATTATCTCAGGAGATGCAAAAAAAAAAAAAAGCATTTGAAAAAAATTCAACATCCAATCCTAAATAAAATCTCTAAGCAAATAAGGAACAGAAAGAAACTTCCTCAACCTTGTAACAGGCACCTAAAAAAAAAACAATGGCTAACAGCATACTTAATGTTAAAAGACTGAATACTTCCCCTCTAAGATCAGGAATGAGAGAAGGATTTCCATTCTTACTATTTCGTTTTACCTTTCTTTTCTTTTTTTTGACAGAGTCTCACTGTGTTGCCCAGGCTGGAGTGCAGTGGTGCAATTTTGGCTCACTGCAACCTCCGCCTCCTAGGCTCAAGCGATTCTCTTGCCTCAGCCACCCAAGTAGCTAGGATTACAGATGTGCACTGCCACACCCAACTACATTTTGTATTTTTAGTAGAGACAGAGTTTCACCATGTTGGCCAGGCTGATCTCAAACTCATGGCCTCAAGGAACCTGCCCACCTCAGCCTCCCAAAGTGCTAGGATTAGAGGCATGAACCACCACCATCCCTGGCCCATTCCTACCACTTCTATTCAACGTTGTATTGGAGGTTCTAACCAGTGAATCAGTCAAGAGAAAGAAGAGGTGGCTGGCTCACACCTGTAATCTCAGCACTTTGGGAGGCCAAGACAGGTGGATCACCTGAGGTCAGGAGTTCAAAGGCCAGCCTGGCTAACATCGTGAAAGCCCATCTCTACTAAAAATGCAAAAAAAATTAGCTGGGTGTGGTGGTGGGTGTCTGTAATCCCAGCCACTCAGGAGGCTGAGGCAGGAGAATTACTTGAACCCGGGAGTTGGAGGTAGCAGTGAGCCAAGATTGTGCCACTGCACTCCAGCCTGGGTGACATGAGTGAAACTCCATCTCAAAACAAAGCAAAACAAAAAAAGAAATAAAAGGCATTCAGATTGCACAGGAAGTAGGAAAAGTTTCTTTATTCTCAGAAGACATGATCATTTTTTATAGATTCTATCAAAAAATAGAATCTACAAAAAAATCTACTAGAACTAATAAGTGAGTTTAACAAGGTTGCAACATACAGCCTCAATGTACAAAACTATACGTATTTCTATGTACTAGCAATAAACAATCAGAAATCGAAGTTTTTTGGCTGGGTTCAGTGACTCATGCTTACAATCCTAGCACTCTAGGAGGCTAAGCCAAGAGGATCGCTTGAGGCCAGGAGTTTGAGACTAGCCTTGGCAACACAGCAAGACTCCTGGGTCGATGAAAAAAAAAATTTTTTTAATTAGCCGGGTGTGGTGGTATGCACTTGTATTCCTAGCTACTCGACCCCAGGAGTTCAGAGCTGCGGTGACCTATGATCGCACCACTGCACTCCAGCCTAGGCAACAGTGAGACCCCTGTCTCTTTTTGTTTTAAAAAAAAAAAAAGAAAAGAAAATTTTTGAAACTGGGCATTGTAGCCCACACCTGTAATCCCAGCACTTTGGGAAGCCAAGGTGGGCAGATCACCTGAGGTCAGGAGTTCAAGACCACTCTGGCCAAGGTGGTGAAACCCCATCTCTGCTAAAAATTTTAAAATAGATTAGCTGGGCATGATGACACAACGCCTGTAATCCCAGCTACTTGCGAGGCTGAAGCAGGAGAATGGCTTGAACCCAGGAGGCAGAGGTTGCAGTGAGTTCAGATTGCACCATTGCGCTCCAGCCTGGGCGACAGAGAGACACTCTGTGTAAAAAAAAAAAAAAAAAAAAAAAAAAGAAAATTTTTGAAAAATGCCATTTAGCATTAAAAAATGTGAAATACAAAAGGATTTATCTAACAAAAGTTTTTCACCCCAAATTGATCTAGATTCAACATATCCCAATCAAAATCTCAGCAAGCTTTTTTATAGAGTATATCAAATGAAAAAAGGAGATATGAAACCATACAAACAGGTAGTACGATTTTTAACTCAACTAAAATTCGGCATTGAAAAAGTCTTTTGACAGTTTTCACAAAAGGCATAGAAAAAAAAAAGAAAACAAAAAAGTCTTGGAAAAAATGGACTAAAATTGTTGGTAGAGGCTGTGTTTAGACCATGGCTTTAGACAATGTTTATTTTTATCCCTTTCCAAGTATTAAGTATCAGTAGATATTTATTTATTTTTCTGAGGGAGTCTTGCTCTGTCGCCCAGGCCGGAGTACAGTGGCATAATTCACTGCAACCTCTGCCTCCTGGGTCCAAGCAATTCTCTTGCCTCAGCCTCCTGAGTAGCTGGGATTACAGGTGCCCATCACCATTCCCTGCTTATTTTTGTGTTTTAGTAAAGATGGGGTTTCACCATGTTGGTCAGGCTGGTCTTGAACTCCTGACCTCAAATTATCTGTCCCCCCGGCCTCCCAAAGTGCTAGGATTACAAGCGTGAGCCACGCACCCGGCCAAGTATCAGTAGATATTTATTAACTACTATACTAATAAACATTTGTTTAAGCTGGCTACCAAATGACCGTTTTGCTAAAAAGTATAAAACTTTTTATAATTAAAGATACCTCCATATGCAAATCATACAATACAGAAACTATCCTAAGAATTTTTAGAAAAATTTAGAGAGCTGTTTTCAGAAATGATCAGTTGAAATTTCACAAGTGAAAAAGATCTAAACTTACCGATAACCTCAGGACACCAAAATTGGCAAAATCATAAATGAGTATCTGGTAGAACAGTTCTTCACTGGAAATAAAAATGAAGTGACTTTAAGGAAAAGCTGAATGCATGCTTGAGATGTAAGTAGTTGGGACAAAATGGGAGAAGTAATCCCTGAAACACGGATAAGTCAGAAACAGTTCTGCCTGGCTGTGGAATCTGGCTAACAGTCTAACAAAATCTCTTACCCTTCCCAAGAGCTGGGATGCCCAAAGCCTTCAACCAAGGCTTGGAGTGGCCAGCCTCTAACAGACAGGTTAGAGCACTAAGACCAAGTCTGACTTGCTACCACTCATGTTCTGTCCCTAGCCTGGCACTATAGAAGGTTTCTGACACTCTGCAGTAAAATTTAAAAAGTTTTTTGTCTGCTTACCTTTCTCCCACTTACAAAGAATCCAATAAATCGCTTTTTTTTTTGTTTTTACACCTTATTATTAAAAATTAAATGAAATGTATAGGGAGGGCAGGGAGTCTTCCTAAATAATCAAAAGTAGACATAAGGCAGGATTATACTACAATGACAAGCAGTTTAGGATGATACACTGGCTGGCAATAGACCAAAAGCAGCTATGAAGTGTATATTGAATTACTTCCAGAAACACAATGGGAACAAATGCCACATTTATATGGTACTTTATAGCTCTCAAAACACATTGAACCACCCAGACTTGCTTAAAGACTTCTCATCAAAGCAGACAAAGCACCTGCTATGCCTGCATTTTGGTGGGGAAACTGAGGCACCTATTGAGTAGCTGACTTGTTCCATGTCAGTTAGTAAAGTGCTAAAGCAAGGACTTGAATCCAGATATTGAACTCTGAACCCAGTTCTCTCCTTATGTTTTTCTACCTCCTTACTGGAAAATCATCCACATTCATTAACAGCTGCAATTCTGGGTCTGGCCTGGATTTGTAACTGTGAGATGAAAGAACATGAATGCAACTGTGATTTGGGGCCTTGGAGGTCATTCCCTTAGACATGCTGGAAAAGAAAAAAGCAAGGGGAATAGAATTCCCAACAAATTAAAAAGTGACAGCTCACTATACAAGCCCAATTATTCTCAAAGCAGACAAGGAATTTGAACAAAGCTGCACCAAACAGGTTTCTGAGCCTGGGAGGAATGAGTTCTGAATACATAGAAGGAGGTACATGTGCTAACAGGAAGCTTCTGGACTGGGGCAGTTTCAAGGGATGGTGAATAGGTTTCTATCTCATGTACCAACTCCAAGCAATGTATAGTGGCTGTTCCACTTACAGGGCCAATAAGCACTCTGAGGCCACAGCAGGGCTTAGAGGAAGAGTCTCACAGTAGATAGGTGATGGTGGCAGCATCCTCCCATATGCATTACCTACTTGAGAACAGATTTAATACAGGTTCTAGACTCAATAGGAGCTCATCCACCAAGGTCCCTGAAAACAATCAACAGATATGTTGCCAGCCATGCAACAGTCAAATGAAACTGCTGGGGTCACCTTTCCTGTGCTGATCAAGCCCACTAGCTCACTTGGTGGCTGGAGTAAGCCTTTACTCCATTCTCAAAGCTCGGAGGAAAGAAGGCATCAGGTCTTTCTCTTGCATCACCCACAGTACTGTGTTGCACACAGCAGATACTAGAATTCTCTAGCAGCATCAAACCCTCACCAACTGGTTCACTACATTTACAGGGCACTGAGCAACTACCAAGGACTAGGCTTCTTAGGTTATTTCTTACCTTCACAAACAAACAAAACCCCTGCATGGTAAGTAGTAATATCACAACTTACAGCTGAGAAATCTGAGACACAGATTAGGAAAGTAACTTGTCTACAGCCAAATAAATGGGAAATGGTAGAGTCTGGATTTGAAACCACATCTGTCTGACTCCAAAGCCTGTGCCCGCCCAACTACCTCATGCTGCTCTTAGCTTCTGTGCCTGCGTTCCCTGGACCATTGTTCTAGCAGCTCTGCTTGTTCACACACTCACTGATTTACCTAAGCTTGGTGGTGTTGAGAAGGTATAACTTGGTCTGATGCTGTGCCAAGGCCCACTGAGGATTCACACAGCCCACGAAGGAGTGGTTATGCAACATCTCCCGGAGAACTGCAAAACAAAAAATAGAAACAAAAAACAGGTAAGTAATGGGATCCTACCAACCTCCCTTCACAGCCCAAAGCAACAAGCACCAGAACGAGAGACACCAAAGAAGCAAAGAGGCCTGAATTGAGACTCCTGCTGAAAACAAACACAAACGAGGACTTATAACTAATCTTTTTTTGTTGTTTTTTGAGACAGAGTCTTGCTCTGTCGCCAGGCTCGCAATCTCAGCTCACTGCAACCTCCGCCTCCCGGGTTCAAGCAATTCCCCTGCCTCAACCTCCCGAGTAGCTGGGACTACAGGTGTGCGCCACCACGCCCTGCTAATTTTTTGTATTTTAGTAGAGATGGGGTTTCACCATGTTGGCCAGGATGGTCTCGATCTCCTGACCTTGTGATCTGCTCACTTCGGCCTCCCAAAGTGCTGGGATTACAGGAATGAGCCACCATACCCGGCCAACTAATCTTTTAACATGCAACAAGGAATGGCTGTAAGATTAAAGACCACTCAAGGATCAAAATCTAAGACGAAGCAGGAACTCAGAGAGGTAATGAGATCTCTGAAGTCAAGAAGTCAACTTTATCCAGACAGTAGAGAAACCTCAGGAATCATGAACGTTAGTTTTCACAGGCTCTGAAGGTGGCAAAAGGAGGACAAAAGCATGGAATGGTTTCACATGGAGAATTCTAATAGGAGACCACTTCCCCAACACATGAAGCTGAGACTCCAAGGGTTGCACCCCAGTGAAAAAGAAAGCCATACTACTATGCCCATGGTGGGGGCTCCCTCAAAGGGCAGTTAAGCAAAATTGCCACCTCTAGCCTTGATGATGGAAGAAAAAAACGACACCCCGTGAATTTGTAATCAGAAACTGGTCTCCACATGCTTTCGCACCCAGAATTCATGCTAAACAGGTTGCCGGAACACCTTAAGCAGAGATTTTAATTTAAACTGATTTGGGGCTAACCATTCCCCCAATTTCCTAGTCGAATCAAATGCAGATTCTCTCTGCAGAAATTCACTGTCAATCCAGGCTTCAAGTAATTCCCCACAGATAAAGTACAAGGAATTAAGTTACAAAATTACTAATCACAAAAAATGCCCCATGAATTAGAATCCAGAAGGATCCACAGAATGAGATCTGTAAAGGTTTCAGGAACTAGAAAGATCAGCAAGTAACAGGAAATAAGTATGTCAGCATACTCAAGAAGTATTAAAACCATGAGTAAGCAGCAGGACACTATCCACTATCTCCTGGGATCAAGACTTCCAAAAGAGCACATAAAATTTCTAAAAATGAAAAATACGGGGCACGGTGGCTCACGCCTGTAATCCCAGCACTTTGGGAGGCTGAGGCGGGCGGATTTAAAAGCCAAGTTGATACTATTAGGAGGTGGAGCCTTTGGGAGATGATTAGGTCTTTCCTCATAATTGTGATTAGTGGGATTAGCTGTTATGAAAGAAACTCCAGAGAGCTAGCTATCCCCTTCCACCATGTAAGGATACAGCTAGAAGGTGCTGTGTATGAGGAAGCAGGCCCTCACTAGATACTGAATCTGCCGGTGCCTTGATCTTGAACTTCCCAGTTTTGTGCTCGCTTCGGCAGCACATACACTAAAATTGAACTTCCCAGTTTTTAGAACTGTGAGAAATAAACTTCTATTGTCTATAGGCCACCTAGTCTAAGGTAATTTATTATAGCAGCCTGAAAAAACTAAGCCACCAAAGGCCCCAATAAAGATTCAGGAAGACCATAAAACATCTACAGGAAAGTTATGATCAAATAATATGTGGTAAATCCAAACAAACTGACAATAACAAGTATCAAAGAACAAGTAGATACAGGCATACCTCTGAGATATTGTAGGTTCCGTTTCAGACTACCGCAACAAAGTCAATATCACAATAAAGCAAGTCGTGAAATTTTCTGTTTTTCAATGCATATAAAACTTATGTTTATGCCACACTACTAACAGACTTGCTCTATGAAGGGGCCAATCTTCAACAAGTAACAAATGCAGTATCTGTGAAAATCAATTCCAGGTGGGCTAGAGGCTTCAGTATGAGTCTTTTAGGACACAATCTAAGAGTGTATCTTTAATTATCACAAAGTTAGGAAGGATTTCTTAAGCTAAAAAGCCAATCTATAAAGAACAATTGAGAAAATCTGCCCATATTAAATCTAATAATTTCTGTTCCTAAAACAAGTATTCATTTTAAAGAGTTACTAGATGATCCCTAAACTAGGGGAAGATATTTTCATGTAACCGATTACTATCTAGACTATATCAAGAACTTCAAAAATTAATTAGAAACGCCCCCCCAAAAAAGCCATCAAATAATGGGTAAAAAACTTGAACGGGCACTTACCAGTTGAGGAAATATACTTATTTATTAACTGATTATTTATTTATTGCTCTGTTGCCCAGGGTGGAGTACAGTGGTACAATCTCAATTCACTGCAACCTCACCTCCCTGGTTCAAGTGATTCTTGTGCCTTAGCCTCCCAAGTAGCTGGGATTACAGGCATGCGACACCACACCCAGCTAATTTTTGTATTTTTAGTAGAATTTTGCCACGTTGACCAGGCTGGTCTTGAACTCCTGGCCTCAAGTAATCTGCCCACCTTGGCCTCCCAAAGTGCTGGGATTATAGGCGTGAGCCACCGTGCCTGGATGAAATACACTTAACTTTATTACAACCAAGAAAATGGAAATAAAAACTACCATCAGATACCGTTTCATAATCACCAAACTGGTAAAAGTCTGACGATATAAAATAATGGACAGAAATTAGAGCAAATGCCACATCTGTAAATTGTTGGTGATAATATAAAAAAAATGACCCCTCTGGGAAACAATCAATAACTCTCTTAAATAGATAACCTAGAGCTTCTCATCCAGTATGCCAGGCCATTGATCAACCCATATGAAGCTGGGAACCAGGGAGGCATGTGGAGAGACAGGGACTGAGGCCATGTGAGCGCTCCCACTGTCCTTCAACAGAAGAATGAATGAACTGCATATTCATGAAGCAGAATCTATATTATACAGAAAATGTAAACCAGAGCTGTACATAACAAGATGGATAAATCTTAGGAATATATGTGTAGCTATATATAAATTGCAGAAAAATGAAACTTATACTGTAATTCTACTTTTATAAAATCTAAAGCTTGCAAAACTAAACAGATTTTTAGGAATACAAATACAGGTGATAAAATTATAATAAAAAGAAAGGAAATAATAATTCCAAAATTTAGAATAGTAATCACCTTTAGGGAAGAAGGGCAGGGGATGGCACAGGGAAGCAGCACATAAGAGCCTCAAAGATGATGGTAATGGCTGACTTCCTGGAAAGGTGCTATTCTCACAAGTGTTCATGTTTTTCTATAGCTGCTACATATATTTTATAAATATGATTTTTAAATTTACCAATGTATCTATGTGTGTATGCACATATATATATTTGTGCATATATCTATGTGTGCATATATATATATATATATATATACACATTTTTTTTTTTTTTTTTCATGAACTAAGTAAAAATATCACCAGCTAAAAGGAAGAGAGTGGACAAGAGAGGCTGGAGACAATAGGGCATGGGTCATAGCACAACAATTATATATCATGGTTTTAATATACTTGTTTTTTAAGCTTTGGCATCACAAGTGAATTCTCACAGTATTATAGAAGTTCTGCAATACTATCCCTTCCTCCATAAAAAGAGGTTTATTTTCTTCATTTTTAGAATAAGTATTCCCCTCTGTTCCCACTGGAAACTCAATGTCTCTACAGGATGTTCTGCGTAGGCAGAAAATGATTATTTTAAAAGCTGGAGAACATTAAATAATCCTGAATAATGAGGCACTGGAGGAAAGGGACAGCAGTGTAATCCACTAAAACAGTCAGAGATTTTCCATACAGAATGTTCACAGACTACTCTGATGCATCCAGAGCTACTGAAGCGCAGCCCTGCCAGCAGGACAGGGAAGGGAGGCGGCACCACCAAGCACAGGCCTTTTCTTCCTTGGGCATTGTAAGGCTTCTTGGACCTCTTCACAGCCTCTTAGCAGGACTTAAACAACCTATATTTCATCCCTAACCTAAATGTCCCCACAGTGCTGGTCCGTAGGCATTTCCCTGCCATTCTGTGAACAGTAAAATGGGACAAAATCCGTCTGTGCTTCAAAGCCTAACCACCCATCTGAGTTCATAACCAAGGCCTTGAGTCTCAGCGTGTTTTTCTGAGAAGCAGCAAGGAAAACCAAACCTGAAGAAAGGGCGATCAGTCCTCTAGTTCCTAATGCTCACTTGCAGGGTAAACGCCATCTCCTGCTGGCTGCCTTCCAGTGGCCACTGTATGCCAGTGTCTTTGCTGCTGCCAGAGATAATCAAGATACCCTTCCTTTCCTCTCAGGAGATCTCACCCTGGCTTCCTGCTGAACTGGCCTTATATCTCTGTTAGAGGATTTCTTTCATTCTACCTAATGTTGCAGCCAGTTTTTAATTAAACAATTCCCATGCAACAGCATGGTATTCTTTAAGGCAGGGGTCACGGTTTATCCATTTAACTTCCTACTTCTGAGCTTGGCATGGTGCATTCTGTACAGAGAAGATACTTGACAAATGTTCACTGAACTGATTTCTTGTACCAAAAACACCGGTTACCTGGTAATGAACCACGAGTATACATATTCAGACTGAGGAGAGTTCACCAAGGAGCAAGAAAATAAAATGAAGTGTGGATATCTGGAATGTTAAGGGCGCTTTCACTTTAAATGGTAGCAAATAGCTTATGACATTTCTTAACCCCATTAATTACAGATCAAAATTATGGGACTAGCAGTAAGTAAATTCAGTCGTTACTAATCCCTGAGATGAGCCTTATTCCATAGAATGCTTGCTTGGATACTGGACCCTGTCAAAAGGACCCTCACTTGTTAACTGCAAGTGTGTCCACCATGGATGGGTAAATCCCTAGACTCAAGAGAGCTGTCTAACTGAACATTCAACTTTGATATCCCTTTAAAATAAAGATTCTAGGGCTTTACCTCCCAGGCTGCTCCTTTCAATCACTGACTCGCTCCCTTAGCAGATATCTGCTGAGTACACAAGCCAGGCACTCTGCTGGGCACCAAGGACGAGGTGTTGAGCTCCACAGACATGATCACTGCACAGACAACAGATAATCACACAGGCACAACTAAGAAAACTGTTACAAGGAATGTATCTCTTACTTTTTTCCTGGCCTTGGGAACTTCATCAGGGAGGGGCCAGACTGCTGGTCTATTAAGGTTAGTGCTCTTCCTCGCCAAATCTGAGTCTCAGTCAAATCCCTATACAGCAGTCAACTCAAAGAGAATCAGCTTCTCCCAGCTTGGGGCTCTGGGTGTCAACCAGATACCAGCAGGTAGAGTTCACGTCGGAGGCCCCTCCCCTTAATCTGTGCCTTATAGATTATAAAGCACACACAAAGTATCTTAAGTGTTCATCACAACAGCCCAGTAAGGGCTGCAGTGTAGCACATTTTACAAAGCACGAAAATCATGCCCAAAATAGTGAATAAATTTCTGTCTGGCCTCTGAATGGTGCAGGTGGTGGGAGCTTCAGAGGAGTTCTGGCTCCAAAGCAAGAGACCATTCCATTCCCCGCGGCACAGACAATGAATCCATCTGTAAAACCCAACACCAGCATGTTTGAAAACACCAGCGTGAGTTGATGGAATCAGAATTACATGGCGTGCTTGTACTGCATAGGCGGTTGACCTGGTTATGCATCTGGGCTTCCTGCATGAAGGCCACTGCCAGTAGCAACCCACCATCAACAAGGCATGAACCTGGGCCTGTTTTTGATTGTGGGGGTGTTGCAATTAGTCTGTCCTCTCCATTTTCTATTCCACTTTCCTCATCTTTAAAACAGAGAAAACGGCATCTGCTCTGTCTCCCTCACAAGACTATTCTTTAATTAGATGAGATACTGTGTAGGAATATACAATTTAAAATCATTTATATGTATCATTTTAGCCTCAGCAAGACTCCAAAGCTGACCAAACTTGAGGCAGATTAGTTTTATTAATACATTGCACTGAAAACAGTTTGATACTACTCAGAAAGTAACTGACATTGTAACTTTCACCCCAGCCTGCTATGCATAAGGGAGACAAACCCTTAAAGAAAACTCATAAAGTCCATTAAACCACTGTAAGGAAGACTGCTAAATGCATCAAGTAACAGCTCACCTTTATGTAAAAGCATTTTAAAAGTTCCCAGCTTGAAAGCTAACAATGATGGAAGGGAAGAGCAACTAGAGTAAATCATGGAAATAAAAACCAGAAGCCAATTGGCAGCCCCTTCTACAATTGTCAAACCTCGGTCATAGGAAGTTTGTATTTGCCCAAATGGAGAGAAGACCTGTGGGTCTTTTCCCACATGAAAACAAAGGCCCAAAATGCTAAGAAAAGGGAATGAATGTAAAAAGGCAAGTTGAAGCCTTCTGAATTTGCTTAGACAAGTGACTGAGACAGAAAACATTTAAGAAACCACTGAGTCAGAAGCAGCTGTTTTAAAAGGTTAGGGACTAGTGGGAAAGGCATAGAACTGCTCCTTGGCTACTCTTTCCTTTGAAAAATTAAACCAGATTCTCATATTTTAAGATACACTTTGTAACAGTTTTGAAATTTGACTACTTTTAGAAATGTTTAATAGGCCAGGTGTGGTGGCTCACATCCATAATCCCAGCACTTTGGGAGACAGAGGTGAGAGGATCACTTGGGCCTAGGAGTTCAAGACCAGCCCAGGAAACATGGCAAAACCCTGTCTCTACAAAAAAAAAAAATCAGCTGGGCATGATGGCACATGCCTGTAATCACAGCTACTCAGGAGGCTGAGGTGGGAGGATCACCTAAGCCCAAGGAGGTTGACGCTACAGTGCGCCATGACTGCACCACTGCACTCCAGCCTGAGTGACAGAGCAAGACCCTGTGTCAAAAAAAAAGTATAACAGATGAAAAATAGAAAGGTCACTGCAAAATTGTCAAGTACAGAACTGCCTACCAGAGCCCTGGACAATGATGTGTACACTTAGAGCACTGCTGTCTCACTCATAAAGTGGGGTCTGGATTGTTGTCTGCGCTAATTCACTGTTATATACCTCAATCACTGGGTTGGTTCATCCTTTAGAGGTGACTAGCCTCACCTTTTAATTCCTAAAACCATTATTTTAGTTTGGAAGTAACAGGGATCAAGATAGAGTTCTATATTCAGATATTCTCAAAAGCTATTTCTGACAAAGATGATAATGATTTATTACTTTGTCTTCAGGATATAAAAGTATCAACTCCTTGCTCTGTAACAAGTATTATTATTTACATTTTATCTCTAATCAGCACAATGATCTTTAAGCGTAAAATTAATTTCACTTTATAGGTAAGAAAGAACTGAGGCATAGAAACGTTAGGTCAGGAGTCCAAGGTCACACAAGAGACATGGTAGTGCCAGGATTTGAGCTCATGGCTACCTCCCAAGCCTGTGCACTTTCAGCAACAGGACATGCCATTCAGTACACAAGATAAGAATTTTGCTGACCACTACACTGCTCTTAGCTAAGACAGAAACAAACCGAAAACTGGCGAAATGACTGATTTTACTCTGACTCCTATGGTTTAACAAGAATACCAATTAATGCTAATTGAAATAAACAGATTATTTTTCTCCCTTTTCTCCCAATCAAAAATTGTCTTTAAGCTGATGCTATTGTGGGCTAGTAAAGGAAGAGGAGTTTGCCCAGCAAAACTAGTGGCCACTCTGACAACACAACTGCTTTCTGCATTTCCAGAACCCTAGCAGTTGAGGCCACAGCGTTTACGTACTCTCATGTCCTCGCTCATTAATTTCTTCCTGGAGACTCAAAACACTGGTGAGGTTAATGATCCTTCTCCGGGGGGTACAGGCTGCAGTCATGTCCTTTCCAGAATCATCTTCCACCATATCCACATCAGAATCTTCCCGATGTCTCTTTCTGCAATGAAGAAAAGGAAGTGACAGATCATTACTATTCTCTTTTGTTTTTAAATTTAGCCAAATTTTGTGTGTTGCATTTTGGAGAAACAAGCAACTTCTCTGTGCTGGCTCTACAGATCTGTGGATAAACCCGTGCTGGTGGCAGGCCAACAAGATCAATCTGTTCTCTGGTGACTGCTTATCTGACAACCATCAGATGCCAGCAGCTGGCCACACAGCCAATGTAGCAGGACTTTGCAGTATAGCTTTTGATGCATTTCTCCAGCCTCTGAGCTTGCTTGCTGCTCAGGGCCTTGAACAAGTGAGCTGAATTTGTCATCTCATTCATTCATTCCTCCAACTATCCATCCATCAGACACTGCTATACACTAACTACACTGAACAATGAACAAAACAGGTAAGATACCTATCCTCACAATGCTTACTTTTTTTTTTTTTGAGACACAGTCTCTCTGTCACCCAGGTTGGAGTGCAGTGACATGCTCTCAGCTGACTGCAGCCTCCGCCTCCCAGGTTCAAGAGATTCTCATGTCTTAGCCTCCCGAGTAGCTGGGATTACAGGCGTGAGCCACCACGCCCAGCTTAGAGGTGACATCTGAGTTGAGACCTGAGTGACAGGAAGCCAAAGGCTTCCCAGACTGACAGAACAGCAACAGCAAAAAGGGTAAAAAGCTCAGCCAGTTCAGATTAGCCACAAGAGCTGTGTGGCCAAAACACCACGTGGAAGAAGGAAAGTGGAGGGCGGGGCAAGGGTGGGGTGAGGGATTTAAGTTTTATCCCAAATGCAAAGAAAACCACGGAAACGTTCTCGGCAGAAAAGTGATATAATTTGATGTGGGGCTTACAAAAATTTCTTTGACTTCTCTGTGGTAAATATCACTTACTTCTGCAAGTGAGGAACAAAGGTAATACTTTCCCTGCAGGGATGATAAGAGCATTAAATGAGATAATGTATGTAAAGTATCTGGTAGACAGTAAATACTCATTAAATATTAGCTTCCTTTATTATTCCCTGGAAAACATTTTTTTTTTTTTTTTAGGACAGAGTATCACTCTGTCAGCCAGGTTAGAGTGCCGTGGTGTGATCACCACTCACTATAGCCTCAACCTCCTGGGCTCAAGTGATCCTTCTACCTGAGCCTCCTGAGTAGCTGGGACTACAGACATTTGCCACCATGCCTGGCTAATCTGTGTCTGTGTGTGTGTGTGTGTGTGTGTGTGTGTGTGTGTAACTCCCACGCCTGGCTAATCTCTCTGTATGTGTGTGTGTGTGTAACTCCTGTGTGTGTGTGTGTGTGTGCGCATGTGTGTGTAACTACTGTGTGTGTGTGTCTGTAACTCCCATGCCCGGCTAATCTCTCTGTATGTGTGTCTGTGTGTGTGTAACTCCTGTGTGTATGTGACTCGTGTGTGTGTGTGTGTGTGTGTGTGTGTGTGTGTGTGTAACTCCCAGACTCAAGCAAGCCTTCCACCTTGGACTTTCAAAGTGCTGGGATTATAGGCCAATGAGCCCGGTTGGAAAAAACTTAGAAGTCATCTTGCTGGGCTTACTCAGAAATGAGCAAACTGAAGTAACACATTCCAGTTCAAATGGCTAATTAGTGCCATCATAGTATATGTGCAGCCTTAGGAAAATTCCTTCATCTTGAGCTCCAGGTTTCATATGAGTACACATTAAATAAAGAATATCCACCTTAGAGATTTTGAAATGGTCAAAATTAAATGACAATAGTAATAATTATTATTATTCCTGCTCCTTTTTTCCAGCTTTCTTTCACCACTAGCTCACAAACTTCAGGGGAGTTTTTGTTTTTGTCTTTTTTATTTGAGACAAGAGTTTTGCTCTTGTTGCCTAGGCTGGAGTGCAATGGCACAATTTCTGCTCACTACAACCTCCGCCTCCTGGGTTCAAGCAATTCTCCTGCCTCAGCCTCCCAAGTAGCTAGGATTACAGGCATGTGCCACCACACCTGCCTAATTTTGTATTTCTAGTAGAGATGGGATTTCACCATGTTGGTCAGGCTGGTCTCGAACTCCTGACCTGAGGTGATCCACCCGCCTCGGCCTCCCAAAGTGCTGGGATTACAAGCCTAAGCCACTGCACCCAGCCAGGGAGTTTTATAAATTAGATTCAGAAAGTGTTTTTTTTCCGAAAAAAGTGAAAGCAGCTTTGGGTAGGATGAAAAAGAATCCTCCAGATATGTTAGGATTCTCTCACTAGCCATTTCTGTGGTTGAGGCTCTATCAAAATTCCTTACTAAAAATAAAAGATAAACCTACTTTATTTCTAGTATGTGTGTTTATTAAATTGGGCAACTATTCCACAATCTGAAGTGTTTTTAACTCATACTTGGAACTGTGGACATTTTAGTAATTTCAATGGACACCATGATGGGTGACTCTCAAGCCATGGTCAAAGGCAGACAGTAAACAAGGCCACGGCACCATTCCCGTGAAGGCAAAGGGCAAGTCAGGCAGAGAGAAGATGGAAGTGATTCATGAAAAGCCAAAGTTAGAAGGCAGTTTTATTACAGAATAAAGGATAAAGGCTGTACTTTTCCCAAAAGGCCATACCTGGGATTGCCTGGGCTGGAAGAAGGTCCTCTCTTCTCTGACATTTCTGAAGTCCCCTTTGTTGTATCCCCCACCAGGCTCTGATTTTTGCCAGCCACTTCAGCAGGGGCTGGGAGTTCAAGCATCTCCTCATCTTGCTGCCTAGCCCTGCCACTAGAAATGTCTGTCTTATCCTCTGGGACAATGGCCTGGGGCTGACTGGACAGTGGTTTGCTCAGAGGCTGCAGAAATGCATCAAGCTTCTGTTCTCGGGAATCTGTACGAACCATCTGGTGGGCATAGACCTTATCACCACTTCCAGAAGTAGAAGAGGAGGTCAGACTTGTGGATTTAACCATCTCCCCAGAGGGGCCAGCGAGTCCCGGTAGCAAAGTCTGTATTAAAAAGAAAAAAGAGAAAAACAAAAGATAGTGGAGAGACTCAGAATAAGGAGTATAGATATACAGGTCCCCAAATGGAGCAGTAGTAAGAAAGAAGGTAGAATGAGGTATAATTCTATTGTTATAGAAGCAATCCTGCCTAAAATATGAAGTATAAAAGGTTTACAGGTATAAAATTCAAGAACTAAGCAAAATCCTTATAATCATAAAATTATTTTTAAATGGAAATATCAGTGTAAAATTCTCATATTTTTGTCTTGGGAGGGGCTACAGGCGTGAGCCCCTGTGCAGTAGAAGACTTTTTTATTGTGGTAAAATATATATAAATATATATAAAATTTACCATTTTAACCATTTTTAAGTGAGAGTTTGTGGCATTAAGTACATTTACACTGTTGTGCAACCATCACCACCAACTATCTCTAGAACTTTTTCATCTTCCCCAATTTGAAACTCTCTGTCCCCCATTAAACAATAATTTCCAGCTGGGCTTCGTGGCTCACAACTGTAATCCCAGCACTTTGGGAGGCCAAGGCAGGTGGATCATGAGGTCAGGAGATCGAGACCATCCTGGCTAGCACGGCGAAAACCCATCTCTACTAAAAATACAAAAAATTAGCCAGGCGTGGTGGTGTGCACCTGTAGTCCCAGCTACTTGGGAGGCTGAGGCAGGAGAATCACTTGAACCCAGGGGGCGGAGGTTGCAGTGATCCAAGATTGTGCCGTTGCACTCCAGCCTGGGCGACAGAGCAAGACTCTGACTCAAAAACAAAAACAAACCCCAAAAAACAATAATTTCCCATTTCTCCTTCCTCCTAGCTCCTGGCAACAACCACTCAACTGTCTATTTTAAATATACATATTTCCTAGCTCTGACCACTGGAAAGGCCTAAAAGTAATGACTACCCATTAGCAATGAGGACTCCCAGATCCCAGATTATAGTCTTTAAATACCATTTCCCACTAAAATGAACTAGAGCTCCTTAAAGAAAAGGCCTACTCCAGGACTTGGGCTGGGACAGTATAAATGTGCCTGCAACATCTTGTCAGAAACAAGGCAATTATCAAGACTAATGGAATTGGGTTAAAAGGTAGAGAGCACCAGCTCCAAGGGCTTGCTTCCACTGGAATAAGATGGGATAATTTGAACATCAAAAAGAAAAATGACTACAATTGATTAAAATATGTTGCTCTGTTAACAGCTATGACAAAATAGTGAAAGAGGGAAAAAGTGAAAGTGAGGAGAGAGAAGGAATAACAGAGGGAGAAAGGGAAACATCATTACATACCACTGGAAATTACTAGGACACCATTAATTCCTTCAAAAATTGATAGCTAGAGGGATATAATTCAGCATTTAGTCTTACTTTCTGGTAAGAACTATTTCAGGATAACCAAATAGCTATAAGAAGGGAAAGTTCTTCTATACCAAAAAATTATAGTCAATACAGAAGAAATTATAAAATCAGAAAATCATAATCTTACAATCTAATGAATTAACTGATTCAGGTAATGGTCACCAACTAAAGGCGAAACCATTAAGCTAAATGTTGATGAGTAACTTTACAATGAGGGAATCAGGTGGTCACCAGCTGAACCCACTGATGAATCTTATTACCAAAACGATATAATAAGACACCATGCACCTCCTGCTGGGGTACGATAGGAAGTACAGGGCCAATGGAAACAAAAAGGTACAGTGACTTTTCTAACTTCAGAGACTTAAAAGATTTTCAAGAGTCGTTATGTTAATTTCTGCTTCCCAAAACCCACATGTAAATTTTATAAATATATATATATATACAAGTATGTACTTAATATACATAGTATATGTATAACACCTGTTCCTTTCACTTGTCCAAGGCAGGACTCTAATCCAATTGTGAGTCATAAGACCCCTATTCCATAGGGGCATACCATGGAGGAAAGAATGGCCACAGAGAGGCCAAGAGAAGGGGAAACATATTATTGGTTTGGAGAGGGCCTGGACATTGGAATTTTCTAAAAGTTTCCCAAGTAATTCTAATGGCAGCCAGGGTAAAGAATACTGCACTGAACAAACAGGACTTACTGGGTTTAGACCATGCTCTTCATGTCCAATCATATTTTGACCCTGTTGTCCATTTTTCAGTCATGTGCCCGCCTAACTATGCCTCCATAAAAGGCCCAAGAAGATAGAGTTTGGGGGCTTCTGGAGAGTTGAACATGTCAAGGCTGACAGGAAAATGAACAAGAACTCATTCATGTGCTGGGAGTCAACTATATGGGGACAGAAGCTCCTGCACTCCAGACCCTTCCAGACCTAGGCATGTGTAACTCTTTATTTGGCTATTTATTGGTATCTTTTGTTTGTTTGTTTGTTTTGAGACGGAGTTTCACTCTTGTTGAACAGGCTGGAGTGCAGTGGCATATCTGCTCACCGCAGCCTCCGCCTCCCGGGTTCAAGAGATTCTCCTGCCTCAGCCTCCCCAGTAGTTGGGATTACAGGCATGCGCCACCACACCCGGCTAATTTTTGTATTAGAGACGGGGCTTCTCCATGTTGGTCAGGCTGGTCTCAAAATCCTGACCTCAGGTGATCCGCTCGCCTCAGCCTCCCAAAGTGCTGGGACTACACGCGTGAGCCACCACGCCCACCCTTATTGGCATCTTTTAAAATCTTTGTAATAAATCCAGAAAACTAAGTGTTTCCCTGAGTTCTATGAGCCACTCCAGCAAATTAATCAAAAACAAAGTGGGGGATCATGAGAACCCCAACTTGAAACTGGTTGGTCAGAACTTCTAGAGTCTTGGACTTGTGACTAGTGTCTGAAGCAGGAGACTAGGGGCAGTCTTGGGGACTGCACCCTCAACCTGTGGGATCAGATGCTATCTCCAAGTAGACAGTGTTGGAATTAAATTGGAGGAGGCCGGCTGGTGTCCACTGTGGAACTGCCTGCTTGTTTAGTATGTGGGGAGAAGCCCCCACACAAGTGGTCATAGAAGTCTTCTGAGTTGATCGTTACTATGGTGAAAGATTGGAGGAAAAGCACAGCAACCAAATATGATGAGTGGAATCCCCAGGGTTCCTGATTTCCATACCAAATGCATTCACTGCAAACCAGGGCTTTTGTTGTACTGGCCAAGATCAGTGGAGTGCAAGGCACATGATGAAGAGCAGAAAGATGGTGGCTCCATGGCCAAAAAGATAGGAGCCAGTGTGACCTGCTGCTGGCAGGGAGAGAATGTATTCTGACAACCCCTCTGAAAATAGAGAGCAGCAAGGAGACCACCAAGCTGGCGTCACGCACCAACTGAAAGAGGCAGGTCCTCTGATCCCTCTGAAGACAAACTGCTCAGGACTTATGCAGAGTTCTACTGGAAAATAAAATGTAATCTAACTAAACGAAGCTGACTAACCCAGGATAAGACAAGGAGGCATGCTGAGAGATTCTTTTCCCCATGGAGCCACAGACTCAACGATCTCTGGCAAACCCCTTAGGCCTCAATTAGGGCAGAGCAAACGGCAATCTCTGGGCTAGGCAATGTGCTCTCCATCTTCCTTTCACACTTTGGGCCTTTCCTCCCACTCTCCATTAGCCAAACTATTTCCAGATCCTGGCAATTCTACATGCTCAACTATTAGTGAATGGGGCTACTTTCTATGTCTCAAGCCCCTCACCACTTCTACCAAATCATTGTAGGTTTCCATCTTGCTCGGCTCCAATCCATTCTGATATTGCAACCAGGGAGCTCTTCATAAAAGGCAAATAAGATCCCATCCAGCCAGTCACAGTAGCTCATGCCTGCAATTCCAGCACTTTGGGAAGCTGAGACAGGTGGATCACCTGAGGTCAGGAGTTCGAGACCAGCCTGGACAACATGGGGAAACCCTGTCTCTACTAAAAATACAAGATTAGCCAGGTATGTTGGCCTGTGCCTACAGTCCCAGCTACTTGGGAGACTGAAGCAGGAGAAACTCTTGAACCCGTGAGGCAGAGGTTGCAGTGAGCCAAGATCGCGCCATTGCACCCTAGTTGAAATCGAAACTCTAATTTCCTGATGAAAACCTCTCTCTTTGGCCTGAATTCTGCAGCCTCAATTACACCACTGCCACTCACCCTAACATACTCAGGCCCCAGCACAGCTTAACCCCAGCTGTGTATGACAGTACCTAGGGAGGCTTTTAAACAATCTTGATACCCAGACCCCACCATCCAAGAATGATTTATCGGTTTGGGGAGGACCCAGACATTGGAATTTTCTAAAAGTTTCCCATGTAATTCTAATGGCAGCCAGGGTAGAGAACACTGGACCCACTGCACTGAACTTTCAGATTCTCAAACACATGTTCTCTTGCACCTCCAGGCCTTTATCCTTGCCATTTCCTCTGCCAGAAACACTCTTTCCATTTCCCATCCCTTTTGCCCACCAAATTCCTATTTAGCCTTTGGGTCCCAGCCTCCATGTCTCTTCCCTCCCTTTTGTGACTGTCCAAGTCCAGGACAGGGACCCCTCCTATATTCTCCCGAGTCTTTTTTTTCTCTCCCATGGGATACATTCTCTAGCAGACCATGAGTGCCTCTGTGGAAGGCAGCAACATCTATGCTGCATCTCTGGGCACTCAACCCAGCATGTGTCTCCAAGAGGAGTCTGGATGTATATGTGCAGAGGGAGGCAGAATAAAAGGAGCAGTAAAGAGGCACAGAGCTTAAGTGAGCAACAACAGACATCAAACCAACTAACAGTTACTGGGCATTTTCTGTGTATCAGATAGTGCTCCAAGAGCCTTGCTAGACATGTTAACCCACTGGGGGCATGTGTGGTCTCATCTTGTCCATGGCACTACAAGGCACAGGGACTTATGGCCTCTATAAGACCTGGGGCTCATGTTGGTACCAGGAGTCAATCAATAACAGAGGAACAAGGGTTGGTTTCCAGACAGAACTTCTTCCTCCCACCTGCCACATACCCCTTTCAGATGTCACCAGTAGGAAGCTGTGAGGACTCCCTTCTTCTCTGCATCAACAATCTCCAGTGTGTGGGTTCCAAGGCTGCTGGGGCTGCCCTGGCTGGGTTTAATCTCACTGCTTAGTGCCCATGCCACCTTCCATCTAGATTCTTTCCAGGTGGATAACTGTGAATGTCCTTCTGAGAAGCATTTGTCTGCTTGGGAATTTTAAGTCTTCTATGAAGCAGGGTCTCACAGAAGTCTAGTTTCTGCTTCTAGGACCCAGCATAATCTAATGGAGCAAATACTTCTATATTGTAGTTTCAGTGTGCTTATGATGAACATCCTCACCATGAATAAAAGGCTGCCGACAACCACATTATCTCAGAACCAGGAGAGTATATAGGAGATCATTTTATCCAACCTGCTTATCTTACAGATAGGAAAACAGAACTCAGATAAGTGAAGTGACTTAGAATAATAAGCACTTAGAAGCTGTACCAGACATTTGCTGTTCACTGACTGCTTGTAACTATCCTTGGATGTGGGAATGACCCATTCCTTCATTACTGAGGGAGACATGGAGGCCAGGGAAGGTTAGTCATATGGCTGGTAACCCAGGTCTGTCCAACAGTAGAGCCTCCACTCTTTCTACTCTTCCTGCTGCCTCCCTGGAGCTTCACCCCTCCACTGTGCCCTATGTAGGTGGGACTAGCCTCCTCCTGAACATCTCCAGTGAAGAGCGCACTGAAGAGGCACCCTATTCTGTTTTCAGACAGCTTGTTTTCCTAGGAAGTTGGTCTAAGGTTCCAGATGGAGGCAAAGTGAGGAAGAGAGCTCTGGCCTTATGACTCTAAGCCCAGGAACAACAGCACAATACCTTTATAACTAGGTTCAAAGAAGAAAATGTCAAAACTATCAAGGTAATACTTGCAAAGAAAGTTCCTAAGTAACAGGCAAAAATCCGGGCTCTCATGTCTGGCAGGGCACATTTCAAAGGTCCCAGAAAAGCAGCTGGATGAGAATCACCCTGACCTGGGTGAAGTACATCCTGGAGGAATTGGAGCCCAAGAGCTTGCTCTCGATGTGCTGCTGCACCCGCTCCAGGATGCTCTCCTCATGCAGGAAGTGAACTTCATGCTTCGTGGGGTGCACATTAACATCCACATTCTGGGGACTGATTTCTAAACTGGCAGGAAAAAAAGAGAACAATTACCTTAGATAGTGGGAGAGGGGAGAAAAAGTCCACATATGGTGTATTTGGTGGCCAGTAGATTTGGGGAGGCCAGATGACACAGTGGTCAAAACCTTAGGATCAAGTCTGAGTGAGTGAGTTTCACTATTAGCCCTGTTACTTAAGAGCTGTGTAGCTTTGCATTAAGTTATATCATCTTTCTTTGCCTCAGTTTCTTCATTTGTAAAGTGGACATAACAGAATTACCTATCTCACAGGTTTATAGTGGGAATTAAATTCATGCCAAGTGCTTTAGATGTACCTGCCACATATACTATATGTAGAACTAGTGAAATTTTTTATTATGTGACCTTGGGCAAGTCACTTAACTTCTTAGTATCTGTTTTCTCCTCCGCAGCCATGAACAAGTCCCCTATTATATGAGGAAACAATATATGCAAGAACACTTTCTGTCAATAAAATGTGATACAAAAAGTCAATTTAGAGGCTATGCTAGCTATCAACTGATCGCCTTAGCTCTGAGTCCATCTTTCATTGCTTCCTCTGTGATAATGGAGGCTTGCAATGTGAAGCTTTGCCAGTAGAAGGTGCTAGAGAGGCTCAGGAGGAGGAAGGGGTTTCTATGCCTGGTTAGGGTGCACTCTTATCAGACTTTAAGTTCTTTAGCACAGGTGGCCAGCAGCACTTGCCCTCTTCTCATAGGCAGTTTTCCCCAGCATCCCCTCAGAGTGGTACTGGGGACCGCCTCATTGACTTTACCTTGCAGCAAGCCAGTTACATTCTCTTCAACAAGATCTGCATCTCAGTCAGAAGTGAGGGAGTGTGGTGAGGGGATGCTATCTCAGCCCTAGGAGGAAATGGGTTGTTCTTTACATCTGTTGTTCCTGTCTCTTCACCTCTTGCTATCAAATCCCCTATTACTCTAATCTCCTGTTTATAATTCTTTATTCCTCTGTGCAAATCGTTGTATGGTTTCTATCTCCTGTTTGGACCCTGATTAATATGGAGATGGAACAAGGTGATAATTTGACCAGTTTGTTACTTTGCAAAGGAAAACCTGAAAACATTTAATCTAAAACTACCTTTAGGCTGAGTACAGTGGCTGATGCCTGTGATCCCACCACTTTGGGAGGCCAAAGCGAGTGGATCACCTGAGGTCAGGAGTTCCAGACCAGCCTGGCCGACATGGTAAAATCCCGTCTCTACTAAAAATACAAAAATTAGCTAGGTGTGGTGGTGTACACCTGTAATCCCAGCTACTCAGGAGGCTGAAGCAGGAGAATCACTTGAGCCTGGGAGGCGGAGGTTGCAATGAGACAAGATTGTGCCACTGCACTCCAGCCTGGGCAACAGAACAAGACTCCATCTCAAAAAAATAAAATAAAAATAAAACCACCTTTAACTATAATTTTTATGCTCTTCCCTTTTCAATCAAAATGAAAACAAAGATAAATTAGTTCTAACACAATTTCTATTCAGAGCGAAAAGGCTTCAGACTTAAGAGATTTTAGTATGAACTATGTCCCATACAAATACAGTGCTGTTACTAAGAGTGATCTTTTGTCATGCTGGGATAAAAATGCTCAGTATATGAAATAGACAAACTAGTAGCAGAGGCAGAAATAATGGAAAGAGATCTTCCATAAGTCAGCTATGGACTATAAATTCCTTTAGAGAGGGGGTACTTCACATTTATTCTGTATTTCGAGCACTTACTATGGGGTATGGTCTATTTAATCCAAGTGCTGGTAACCCAGGTCTGTCCAACGGTAGAGCCTCCATTCTTTCTACTCTTCCTGCTGCCTCCCTGGGGCTTCGCCCCTCCACTGTGCCCTATGTAGGTGGGACTAGCCTCCTCCTGAACATCTCCAGTGAAGAGCGCACTGAAGAGGCACCTATTCTGTTTTCAGACAGCTCATTTTCCTAGGAAGTTGGTCTAAGGTTCCAGATGGAGGCAAAGTGTGGAAGTGAGCTCTGGCCTTATGGTAAGTTGATAGCTAAAGTGCTAAACTATTTATGCCTGCTAAAATATGACTGCTAAATTATTTACATGAATAACATGAAAATCTGGGCAATCAACAGTGTATATGTTAAGACAAGAAGCTCCACAGAGCGAAACACTGTCTTTTTTCCTCTTTTTTTTTTTTTTCTGAGATGGAGTCTCGCTCTGTCACCCAGGCTGGAATGCAGTGGCAGTATCTCAGCTCACTGCAACCTCCACCTCCCAGGTTCAAGCAAATCTTCCTGCCTCAGCCTCCCGAGTAGCTGGGATTACAGACGACTGCCACCACGCCTGGCTAATTTTGACACAGGGTTTAGTCTCTACTAAAAATTCATGGTCAGACTGGTCACATGAACGCCTGACTCTGTGATCCGCCCACCTCGGCCTCCCAAAGTGCTGGGACTAGAGCCACTGCACCTGGCTGATTGTCTTTTATGAAAAAAAAAAAAAAAAACCAGTAGCTGTGTGGCTTCCCAACTGACCCCAGCAGAAGTAATATTTAGAGACTCCAGAGCACATCTGTTTCTACTCTGCCTATGAACATCAGCACCTCCTGAAGGGGTGAGGCATGGCATTCGTTTTTGTATTGTTAATGCAGAGCCTGGCATATAGGAGGCTCTTAGTGAGGTTCTGCTAAATTAGTGAATAAATGAAGGAAAATTGTACCTTGTACCCGTGAGAAGGGACAGAACATCGTTTGCCAGTGGTGTATAGGATTCACTCTGACTGTACCATTAGCATGCTCATCTCTTTCAAAGAGGAGAGCCTCATAGAACATCGGCTTCTTGTTAGTCTTGGTTGAAGAGTTTGGTGCTACATTACCTGAGGTACAGGAATGGGTGTGTGTTTTTGGGCAAATAGGCTGCATACACCGTTTCTATGGCTTTTCTCAAGGAAGTTGATTCTACCAGACGATCTAAACAATAAAAAGAAAGCAGCCAGTTCAAGACTGTTCTGAGGGGTGAGGTCACAGGCGTTCATTCATACAAAGTCATGAAATTTCCTCAGGAAAAACATTTCTGGAGTAATACGCGCATCACATCCCCAGGAAGAAAGGGCCACCTTTATCTGTTGCCACTTTCCAGCCCAGTATCTTACTATTTGCTTGAAACTCTTTTCCTTCATCCAAGTAACAGAAATCATAAGGCAATACATTCTTCTCTCCTCACTTCCCTTTGCCCCCATTACCCCATGTAGACTAGCTGTGCTCTTGCTGGGCACAGTGGGAAGTATGACATCAGCTCTCAAACTTTTCATTCTGCAAGTATATACTGTATATCACACACATCAAGCGCTGGTAGACAAGATGCTGGTAAATAAACTAATTCCAACCCCAAGTGGTCAGCACTATTATACAGGTGTGTGTGCTAAATGGTGAGCAGAGAGAGCAACTAACTTTGCTCAGGAAGTTTCAACAGTGGAGTAGCCAAACAGAGTTTTCCAGAATTTCAGGCAGTAGAAGTGTCAATGCATATTTAAGGTAATTTAGGAAATGAGGCTGGTTTGGAGAGGGTAGAAAGCAATAAATGCAGGAAAAAATAAGACTAAAATCAGAGAAAGATGTATTTTCAGGAAACACAGCTCTCCTTTCTCCGTGGACAGATTTTAGATGACCTGCTGATTATCTGTTGTCCTTTGTTGTTGTAGCCATGAATATGTCAAATCTTTTTATTTCCAACAAGAAGAGTGGCTGTGACTTTATCAATGAAGAGATTGACATTCTCTGAGTGTTCATGACATCCATGGCCCCATCATTAATGTCACTATACTCTGTAACACGTGTCCTGACCACACAGGCCTGGGGCAGGCGTGGGCACCTGAGGACAGCTGGAGCCCCTCTGCTGAGAATTCTGGACTTGAGACGGGACAAAGGAGTGTTCTTTGTCTCTGCCACTGAGTGTGCCTGCACAGTGTAGATAAACGAAGGAATGGCACACATAAAAGCTTGACCTTTCTTTGCTACTGAGAACTTGGTATTATGAACACATTAGCTAATCATAACATAGAGGCTGTGGCAGGCAGCCCCAACAGAATAACAGACAGAGGCCAGTCAGACAGCACCTACACTGAATTTTTTGTCTGCTTTATGGCCAGCATGGGCATTACAAAGCAATTATTCTTCAGGGTTAGAAAAAAACTAATAAAAAGCATTGTCTGAGCCTTGATTAAAACAAGCTTTGTTATACATCAGGTCTTTCCTAATGAAGTAAAAACCCTGCTAATAAAAATCAGTTTAACAGAATTTGTTTGTAAATGATTGGCTCTCTCCTTACTGTTTCTGTATTGCTTTGAACAACTGCTGTAAAACAGCTTTACATATAACAGTTTTGCATATTTTGAGACATTTACAGCTGGTCAGCAGTATAAATGGAAAGAGGGAATATTCCATTTCCAGTAGCAAACAAGCAAAACAAAACAAAAACTCATATAAAATTATTATGAAACCCTTTAAAACAATAAAGATAAACCACTTCTAAGATAAAAATGAAAACTGAAACCATGGAAATGGAAAGATGCATCTTATTTCTGGATGGAAAATGAAAAATGTTTGGGATTATTTGTTTTTGCTAGGTCACCATCAAAACCTTGTAATACACAATTAAGTTAGTAAGAAGCAGAATATAAAATAGCGTTTGTTTAGTAGCTAAGAATCATGTAAAACACTATGTCAGCAGAGAGATAAAAACTGTAAAGGAATTTAAGAAAAATCCTAATTAATTTAGTTAATTTCCTCCATAATTTCTAGAACTGCTCTTTGTATCCTAAAGCTCATTCCTGAAATAGGAAAATCTCAAGTATCTCAGCAATTTCTTTACTTTAATGACAATGCCTATGCCCAAGGTACCCTTTTCTGTGTCCTGCTGTGCAATTTCAAACAGTGGCCCTTAATCACTTCCAGCAATGCTCTGCCTAGGGTTTGCTTGTAATGACTCTGACACCAGCAGGTGAGGAAGGTGGGCTGGCTCACAGGGGCCTGTTATGCCCTCTCCTGGCCTTCCTCTTAGAGGTGAGAACCAGACTCCGACAGTGAACCAGCAATGAGCACATGGGGGAGGGCTGAGCACAGACTTAGGACAAAAGTTATACATGCTTCCCAATAAAAACCACACTTTACCATGAGGTTTCTCTAAGTGTAATCAAACCCGTTGATCAGAAATTTTCCCATGTCCCATAAAATTCCCAGTGGGTGGATTTCCCATGTGTTTCTTTTTCACTTACGGTTGATAAAGAGTAAGAAGATGCACTTCTTCACCGAGTAGTTTGCATTGGAAATGTAACCATTCATTCTGAAGGCTAGGGTTTTATCCTCACACCCAATTTCTATCAGTTCTCTGGTTAGAAAAGAGAGATTCTGAAGCTTCTGAAAATACTAGAAAACTCAAACATTATAGAAAAATCAGAATTAGAAAACACAAGGTTCCTTCCCATAAACTAACTGTGAAATGTGGGCCCCAGAGACTTAGTTCATTTGAAGTCCTCTGTGCCTGTCCATTCATTCATCCATTTGTCTGTTCTTCCATCCATCCACCCACCCACCCACCCCATTCAGTCAGTGTTTTCAAGCACTTGTGCTATATGCTAGGTGCTGCTCTAATGCTGGAATAGAACGAGTCCAACCTCTGAAAACTTATGTATCTTAGTAACTAAATCCCAAAGATGAGATTCCAATTCCAAGAACTTATCTCTGCTGAATTACTTACTATACTGAATAGCACCACAATGTGGTTCTACAATGTGTGTTGTTCCCCAGAGTGTTTATTGTGGAGGGAAGGTTAACAGGCGAAAAAGAGGTCCTCAGGCAAGCCACACTTATTTCTGTCTGAAAACCTTCCCAAGAACTAGTCCCTCTGTCTGGAAAGCTCCAGATTAATAGTTAGATTAATTAATTAAATAGTTAATTCCTATTGATCCTTCATATTTCAAAAATTATTTATTCAAAGAACCTTCTCTAATGATCCCCTTTCTCTGACCCTACTGAGTTTCCCATCATGTCCTTTATTTTTCCAGGGAGGCATCTAGCACAATCTGCTAATGAATGGCATAATTATTTAATGTGTCTTTTCAACTAAAAAGTCAGCTGAAGGCAGGAATCATTTCTGCTTTGTTTACTACTATATCCCTACCATATAGTACAATACCCAGGAAATAGCAGGCACTCAATAAGGGCATGCCGACTGGCCGGTGGACGCTTTTCATGCAGTAATGTGTGCTCTGAGTGTCTTCAATAGAGGGTACGGCTTGTGGCATTTCCCATACACACTGAACCAGCAAACTCTTTTCTCCCAAAATGCCGCAAGAGGCTAGTGTTCTGGAAGCCTGCTTTGGGAAATGCTGCTCTAGAGGATTTCTAATCTTGTACTGTCTCTAGAATTTCATAACAACTAAGTGTAGTCTTAAGATCTGGTCAAAGATGCTCTGAAAAGTTACACTGTAGAACAGAGTTCTGTCACTCTAGGAGCACAGTTTTAAAAAATTAATTCATTTAGATTAGAAGGAGAATAGTAGGTTAAAAGCAAACTAGTTGTTCCTTAGTTGGTTTAGCTTAAAAAATAAATTATTTGTCCTTCAAAGTAGAAACTGGGTACTGAAATGACTGCTGCTGCTTTTCAGATTTCTGGGAATGTGAAGTTAGGAGCTGTCTCATCCATACATGTCCCATACATGGAAGGGTCTCAGTATTCTTCCCCTCACATTATGACACAGGCACTTTGGGGTTTATAAAGTCCTGAGACAGCTAGGAATCTATGATGGAAATGGTGGGTTTTACATGCAGAGGGAGCACTACAAGGAATCCATAATGCAAGCATTTTCCCCTCTTATGCTTTCCTTGATGATGAAGATCTGGCACTTACAAATCTAGTCTTTAACGGCAAGAAATATTTCATTTGTCTTTATATCCCTAACTTCTTTTTTTTTTTTTGAGACGGAGTTTTCGCTCTTGTTACCCAGGCTGGAGTGCAATGGCGCGATCTCAGCTCACCGCAACCTCCGTCTCCTGGGTTCAGGCAATTCTCCTGCCTCAGCCTCCTGGGTAGCTGGGATTACAGGCACGCGCCACCATGCCCAGCCAATTTTTTTTGTATTTTTAGTAGAGACGGGGTTTCACCATATTGACCAGGATGGTCTCGATCTCTTGACCTCGTGATCCACCCGCCTCGGCCTCCCAAAGTGCTGGGATTACAGGCTTGAGCCACCGCGCCCGGCTATATCCCTAACTTCTAGCACAAAGCCTGGAATATGAGAGGCAATAAATGTTGAATGATAAGTAAGTGAAATCCTAAAGTGAGGATAATGGAAATACGAGGAAAAGAAGGAACACTGGAGGATAAAGATTTTGAAGACTAAGACCTTGAAAAAACACATGACTTACAGCCACAACATCTAGGAGATTACATGCACTGAGGAAGTGTTGACTACATGAAGTAAGAACTTCATTAACAAATTTGAAGCATAAAAACAAGACTATGTATTTGACTAAAGTAAACTCAGTCTTAAGGCAGGTACTACCTTGAAAACATCCAAAATAATGTGATGGAATGATAAATCAAGAAAAGAAATGTAACAGATTTTTTTATATAGGTTATCAACATACCGACTAACAGCATTTCCAAAGATGGAGCGAATATTGTCCACGGTTGAGGCACTGGGTAGTGTCCTAACATCAGCTACTGTCTCTCCTTGCTGATAAACAAAGAGCAGAAGACACAAGGACTTACTGTCTCATGGTTGAGACTGAAACATCATAACCTTATCTCCACCAGCATACTATTAAAAATTCCCTTTTTGCTTTCCATAAAACAATACCATCCCCCATAAACCAAGAACTTACTTTTTTAACTGAGAAACTAATGCCTGAATTGTGTATTGAATACCTGGAAAAGAAAAAAGAGTAAGAAAAGAGTTGCCAAAAACACACACTAGATGTCAGAGCCTCCTTTTAGTTAAATAAATTAGCAGAGTTATGTAATCTAAACAAAGGCGCATATAAACAAAAATATCTCCATACAGCCTACTAATATTTTACCCACAGAAAAATAAACCAGTACAGAGTTCAGGGAGATATCAATGCTAAATGTGATTGAATCAAAACAGACTCCTCTCTGTTTTTATAGGTTGCTGACAGTCTCAAGGATATCACACCACAATCTATTCTTTTTTATTTTTTTGAGACGGAATTTCACTTTTGTTGCCCAGGCTGGAGTGCAATGGTGCGTTATCGACTCACTACAACTTCTGCCTCCCGGGTTCAAGTGATTCTCCTGCCTCAGCCTCCGCAGTAGTTGGAATTACAGGCACCCACCACCATGCCCAGCTAATTTTTTTTGGTATTTTTAGTAGAGATGGGGTTTCGTCATGTTGGCCAGGCTGTCCTCAAACTCCTGACCTCAAGTGATGTGCCCACCTCAGCTTCCCAAAGTGCTGGGATTACAGGTGTGAGCCACCACGCCTAGCCCACAATCTCTTCTTCACTTGCGGTTTTATTTTCAGGGTATCTCAAAGGTCTGGTTTGCCTCAAGGACATCTTGCTTGAGAAGCTAGCGCTAACAACCCCTGCACACTTTTATTCTCTCTCAGAGCCCTCAACACACCCTCCTTCTCACTGTCTTCTTCCTGCCCCTGGGTCTTGTTCCAGTATCTCCCAACCTTTTCTTGGTTGGCAATTGTTTATTTCTCTTTTCTCTATGGAGCCCATGAACTGAAGGATTGTGTCTAGCAAAATGCATTTATTAAGTAACAATATTTCACTTTACCACACCCAGAACCAAAACAGTCAACTAAAACTCCTTTATCTTCGGGAGGTAATAAATATTCTGACATTGATTTACAAATTCCAAGAAAAAGCAAAGAAACTTGATTTATAAACCTGTGTCATTTTATTAACAGGAAATTTTTTATTCATTTTAGATTTCTTCAGAAATATTGAAAAATGGCTAGGCGTAGTGGCTCACACCTGTAATCCCAGTACTCTGGGAGCCTGAGGTGGGTGAATCACCTAAGGTCAGGAGTTTGAGACCAGCCTGACCAATATGATGAAATCCTATCTTTACTAAAAATACAAAAATTAGCTGGGCGTGGTGGCACGCGCCTGTAATCCCAGCTACTTAGGAGGCTGAGACAGAAGAGTCACTTGAGCCTGGGAGGCAGAGTTGCAGTGAGCCGAGATCAAACCGTTGCACTCCAGCCTGGGACACAAGAAGGAAATTCCATCTCAAAAAAAAAAAAAAAAAAAAAATTCCATCTCAAAAAAAAAAAGTACTGGAAAGTAGTTAACATATCCCTACCACAATCGACAACATGTGGGTTTGGAGAGCCTGTACTGAAGCCATCTATACCAGTAGAGCACGTCTATCGTGGATATAACATTGTTTTCATCTGTCCTGAATCCCTTCTCCTCCTTCTGGTAACGGCCTCTCATCTTCCTTTGGGAAACTACCTCTATTCCATTCTACTTGATGCACCCTTAGTAAGACTGCCAATCAAGAAATCTTCTCCCCCTAGATATGGGCACATGATCATGTGACCTAAACTATCCTAACTGGATGTACTCTGTTAAGAAGCTGACTCTGGAGCAAAGTCAGGAAAAGAATGAAAACAACTGGAGTACAGTAAGGACATTAGGTCCCCGAGGCACCCTGGTTCTTATTCTCTCCAAGGAGCCGCTGGACATACTTCATGTGATAACCCCTAGCCTTCCAATAAATTTCTTTTTAGCTCAAGTTGGCTACAGCCAGTTTGTTTTGTCTGCCATCAAAGAGCTCTCATTGATCCAAAGACCAACTGCTCTTTCCTGGGGAGATGAGAGAAAGCCCAAAATTGGTGACTAAACCTTGACCTGTATGAACGTCACAGTTTACCGAACTATTTAAGCTGGTTTTACTTTTCACCATCTAGCTCAGCAACTGTTCACAACTTATGAGTACTAGAACACACTACTTTGGTGACAAATCTCAGAGACCCACTCCCAGATTTTGGACTATACCTGCCAACAACTTCCAAAATTTTCCCATATTCTTCACTTGGATTTTTTAAAGCTTTTCTCCTCGTGGCTATGTTGTAAAAAAGGTCCTCCACCTAAACAGAAGATCAATTTTTCTTGTAAATTCATAGAAGTACATGAAAATAAAACCCAAGATATCATAGCTGAAGCTAGGTCTTAAGGTAGTGAATCCAATTACATTTACCAACAGCACAGCTCCAAGCACTGACTGGGGCCAGGGATAAGGCAGCATTAACAGAAAAATTAAAGAATATTTTTTGGGCCGGGTGTGGTGGCTCACGCCTGTAATCCCAGCACTTTGGGAGGCCGAGGCGGGTGGATCACGAGGTCGAGAGATCGAGACCATCCTGGTCAAAATGGTGAAACCCCGTCTCTACTAAAAATACAAAAAATTAGCTGGGCATGGTGGTGCGTGCCTGTAATCCCAGCTACTTAGGAGGCTGAGGCAGGAGAACTGCCTGAACCCAGGAGGCGGAGGTTGCGGTGAGCCGAGATTGCGCCATTACACTCCAGCCTGGGTAACAAGAGCGAAACTCCGACTCAAAAAAAAAAAAAAAAAAAAAAAAGAATATTTTTCCTGCCTCCCACATTCATTCACTGATTTTTCAAATATGTACTGGGGGTTATCTTTGTGTCAGAATCTTTGCTTTGTGCAGAAAATATGAAGACAAAGCATGATCTTGCTCAGGAGAGTACACGATTTAGTGGGACACACATGTAAATTGACAAATAATTATAATAACACATGGCATTCAAAGATATTTTTCAGGCCAGGCGCAGTGGCACACTTCTGTAAAGCCAGCACTTGAGGAGGCTGAGGTGGGTGAATCACCTGAGGTCAGGAGTCCGAGACCAGCCTGACCAACATGGTGAAACCCCATCTCTACTAAAAATATAAAAATTAGCCGGGCATGAGAGCACATGCCTGTAATCCCAGCTACTCAGGAGGCTGAGGCAGGAGAATAACCTGAACCCGGGAGGTGGAGGTTGCGGTGAGCCGAGATTGCACCACTGCACTTCAGCCTGGGCAAGAGAGTGAGACTTCATCTCAAAAAAAAAAAAAAAAAAAAAAAAGATATTTTTCAAACTAAGAATAATCACAAAATTTCTTAGATCATTTGGAGTTCTTAGAAATCACACTGTGGGCCGGGCGCGGTGGCTCAAGCCTGTAATCCCAGCACTTTGGGAGGCCGAGGCGGGTGGATCACGAGGTCAAGAGATCGAGACCATCCTGGTCAACATGGTGAAACCCCGTCTCTACTAAAACTACAAAAAATTAGCTGGGCATGGTGGCGCATGCCTGTAATCCCAGCTACTCAGGAGGCTGAGGCAGGAGAATTGCCTGAACCCAGGAGGCGGAGGTTGCGGTGAGCCGAGATCGCGCCATTGCACTCCAGCCTGGGTAACAAAAGCGAAACTCCGTCTCAAAAAAAAAAATAAAAAAATAAAAAAAGAAAAAAGAAATCACACTGTGGTCACCCTGGTACAAGATCTCTGAGGGCAAGTATTCTTTGTTTCATTTGATAGATGAGGAAACTGAGGTTAAGGGATGTTAAGTAAATTGCCTCTGGACATATAATCAATGAGTGACAAGGCTGGGCTCTAACCCAGGCCTTCTGGGGTCAAGCTTAATCGTCTTTCAATGCCAACTACCCTGCCATTGATTTTTGCTATCCCAATAAAGAATCTCCTAGCCCTTAAAAAAGACAAGGAGGGGGCAGGCTGCCATGCCACAAAAGCCAACAGTCATTTATCTTGCTTAGAGGATGATATTTTGGGACCTCCATTAACTAGTGCAAATTCATTTTATTATTACCCTGAAAACTCAGAGACAATTTCGTATTTCAATATTTATACAAACAAATCTTTTCAACAATTTATTCTCCCATGTACCATTCTTACCGTGATCTGGGTCCCTTGATTGCCAGCACACGGTTTAGGAGGAGCTTTCAGTTTTCCATCTGAGTAACTTGCTCTAATAAGAAAATATAACAAATTAATATCCAGTAGAGAGAGAGATAGTAATCTAAAGGGGAAAAAAGAAAATAATATCAATGATACATTAAAATATAGCCATGTTATATATTGTCTTAATTATTTATCATTTTCCTATTTATTTCTCCACCACTTCCATAATCATTTGAATTGGACTATTTTTTTTTTAATATAAAGACAGGGTTTCACCATGTTGGTCAGGCTGGTCGTGAACTCCCGACCTCAGGTGATCCACCCATCTTGGCCTCTTCCAAGTGCTTGGAATACAGGCGTGAGCCACCACACCTGGCCTGGACTTTTTTTTTTTTTGACATGGAGTTTCGCTCTTGTTGCCCAGGCTGGAGTGCAATGGCGTAATCTCGGCTCACTGCAACCTCCACCTCCTGGGTTCAAGCAATTCTCCTGCCTCAGCCTCCCAAGTAGCTGAGATTACAGGTACCCACCACCACACTTGGCTAATTTTGTATTTTTAGTAGAGACAGGGTTTCACCATGTTGGTCAGGTTGGTCTCCTGGATCCACCCACCTTGGCCTCCCAAAGTGCTGAGATTACAGGCATGAGCCACTGCACCTGGCCCTTAAATTGGATTTTTTAAAAATATCTATTCTTCTAGCAAATGTTGCTATTTACTTACTGACTTCTGAGCTACCAAAAAAATAGTTTTGTCACTGCCTAAGTTAACAGTAAAACTGTTTAGTAATTCCGCAAGTATTTATTGAGGAGCTACCATGTGTCAGGTCTATGAAGCCTGGTAATAAGGAAAGGTCTTGATAATAGTGAGGGGTAGACTTTTTACCTAACTGTAGAACAATATGCTAAGTGATCTAGGGAAGGGTCCATTCAGCCTGGGGTGGGAGTGAGGGTGGGTTAAAGCATCCCAGAGAGATGGCAATTTATCATTCTTTAGAGAGGAATGGTTTCAGATGGAGGCAGTGGGAAAGACCATCCAGGAAGGCAAAAACAAAAATGAAAGTATAGAGCCTTTAGCATACAGGCAGCCTGGAATAGGCAGAGAGGACGCTGGAAAGGCAGACTGAGAGCACACTGAAAGGGGCTGGTTGCAAGATGATGACTCTGCTATGGAAGGGGGCCGACTAGCAGTCCCATGCAGGGGCACACTACAATCTAGGAAGGCATTAACTCACAACTCTCTCTTCAGTTAGTAACAGGGGATTCTAATCTTACCAGTCCATATGGATCTAGGGCAATTATAATTCACAGAGTCAAACCCCCCTAGTATTAATGTTGTGTACTCTGAAATCTCCATCTTCCATTACTTCACACATTTATATGTAAGACTGAGAAACAGACAGGACTATCCTTTGTTGAAGATATTTCCCTTTTTTATTTTTTAAGGTTGGAGTACAATGGTGCAATCATAGCTCACTGCAGCCTCAGACTGCTGGGCTCAAGCAATCCTCCCACCTCCAGAGTAGCTACGACTACAGATGTGCATCACCATACCCTGCTAATTTAAAAATTTTTTTTCTGTAGAGATAGAATCTTGCTTTGTTTCCCAGGCTGGTCTCAAACTCCTTCAAGCAATCCTCCCACTTCAGCCGCTCAAAGTTACAGGCAAAGCCACCATAACCAGCCTATTTTCCCTTTTAATCTACAAACTATCTGTGTGATTTTCAAAAATTATCTTTTTTTGGCATGAATTAGGTACTCCTACAAGTCTTCAACTAGCGAATGGCCAGTGCTTATAAAAACAAAGGTGCGATTTTGATATCCTGAATCTCATTTTTCTTCTGTTCCAAGGCCATTCAGCTTCTGAAAACTGTGCCAGCATAACAGATAGCCAGCAGCCACTGTGTGAAGGCAAACCAGCACAGGTACACACAGGTGCTGGGAGCTGGTGGCTCAGGAGCCAGCTAAGGAAACATGAACCTTTAGCATCCCTACCACAGCCCTCTAATCAGTCCAAAGCAATACCTCAACTGAAGGGCAAAGAGGCAGAAATCATATCAGCAGCTACCATTTACTTGGAATACCTACGTGTAGCAGACACCTTGCTAGGCACTTGGAATACGTTATATCCTATCTTTTAAGAATCCAGGAAAGGCTGGGTGTGGTGGCTCATGCCTGTAATCCCAGCACTCTGGGAAGATGAAACAGGTGGATCACCTGAGGTCAGCAGTTCAAGACCAGCCTGTCCAACACGGTGAAACCCTGTCTCTACTAAAAATACAAATATTAGCTGGGCATGGTGGCGGGCGCCTGTAATCCTAGCTACTTGGGAGCCTAAGGCAGGAGAATTGCTTGAACCCAGGAGGCGGAGATTGCAGTAAGCCAAAATCATGCCATTGCACTCCAGCCTGGATGACAAAAACAAGACTCTATCTTTAAAAAAAAAAAAAAAAAAAAAAAAATCCATGAAGAGTATCACCTAATAATCATCCTTGTGGATTATCAATTTATCAATAGGGAGAAAAGAAAATATACCCAAGATCTCTGCCATAAAAAGTTAACACTGGTGTTAAGACAGGATTACTCTGAAATGCAGGCAAAAAATACATTTCAAGATGAATATTTCGGAGTAAAAGAAGTCAGCACTATACCTGTATGCACATTTTCCATCAGCTGTTTTTGTTGTAATAGTAACATGAGCCACATGGCTTATGCTGGCCAAAGCCTAAGGAAGAAAAGAAAATAGAAACAAAAACTCACTGCTGGGTCACCCACTTCACCCCGCCAAAGGGAAAGGTTATCTGGATGGCCTCTTTCATTTTGTATTAATAGGTGGCAACCAGGAGCACTTTGCTGACTCATTCAATCTGGTGACTTGTTGAAAAAAAAAAGGATCAAACAATCTGTAGCATAATTACTAGAACAAGTGAAAAATATGTGTTAAAAAGTTTAAAACACACCAAAACATTAATGGGTTAATAAGCAATTGTGTTCAGGTGGTACAACTATAGACATGTTTAATAATATTCTCAATGAAGTGTTGTCTAGTAATTTTTAAAACTTGGCTTCAGAAATGGATAAAGGAATCACTCCAAATAGTGTTTTATATTGTTACTCAAAACATTTTTATATAAGCAATTATACATTTTGAAATACAAATTTAAAATTATGCAATTAAGACAAAACAAATTTTAAAAACCCATGATCATTTTTCCCCTTTATAACCAAGACTGGTTTCTCAGCCCTTTGGAATCTGTGTCTCTTTTACAAGAAGGATATTACACTATGTAAAGTAACTCAGGAACTGTGCCATGATGGGGTCTGTGTGACAGCATCTCCGCAGACAGTAAATACTGTTGTGGCAAGTTCAGTTCATTGAAAGGCACAAGGGTCAGGCTCAGATATCACCAGGTCCTAGCTAGACTTCCCTGGTTAATGTAATTGAACTAATTTTCATCATTAAAAAATGTAAGGCCAGGCACGGTGGCTCACACCTGTAATCCCAGCACTTTGGAAGGCCCAGGTGGGTGGATCACCTAAGGTCAGAAGTTCGAGACCAGCCTCATTAACATGGTGAAATCCCATATCTTCAGCCTGGGCAACAGAGTGAGACTCTATCTCAAAAAAAAAAAAATAAATAAATAAATAAATAAATAAATAAATAAATGATTTTGAGACCTGTATAAGGAAAGACATGAAAATGCAGAGCAGAACACACCAGAAAGAGAGAGTGCCACTACACATGGCACAACAGATCCTGCTGCTTCAGAGGCCTCTTCCCCAGCAGTGGAACCAAGTGGACAGGGGCACAGACTCTGGAGTCAAACAGCCTAGTTTCTAATCCCCACTCTGCCACTTTTTAACTATGTCCTTGGGCCATGTTTCCCTCATGTAAAACTGGTTAACAGTAGAACCTCTGCAGAGTTACTGTCAGGAGTAAGAATTAATACAAAGTGCTGAGAACCATGGCTGGTACACAGAAATCCCTCATAAATCTTCCCTGTGTAATTACAGTGAAATAATAACCACGAAGATTACCTATAGCTAGGTGAAGACTCCAGGGGGCCATGGGTTTGGAAAATGACCCAGGGAGCTGCAAGGCCAAAATGAAACTTGCTTCCTAGAGTTTGATCTAAATATCCTTATAATCAGGGGGAGTCTCAGTGTAAACCAAGTCTTGAAAATTGTCCATTTTTGGAATAATCTAGCAGTCACTGTGAGCAAGATGATATATGAGACCACCCTAGTTTGGTGTAAATTGATCTAAATTATAGAAACTGAGTTGCTGCTGCCTTTTACTTTTTAAAATTAAATAAAAGTAATACTTGTACATGATAAAAATTCAAACTACAGCAAGGACAAAAATGAAAAGTAATAGCCTCTTTGATAGCCCAACCCCATCTTCACTCTCATTCCCTTAAAATAACTACTGTAAAATAGTTTCTTTGGTCTCCTGGAACCTCCACAGAGGAACACAGCCCTGACAAAACCTTGATTTTAGCCTAGTGAGGCCTAGTAAGACCCATATCTTCTGATCTCCAGAACTGTAGAATAATTAATTTGTATTGTTTAATGCCATTAAGTATCTGGAAAATTTTTGGCAGCAACAGGAAACTAATACAGTTTTTAAAATACGTATTTTTCTTTCACCAAGGAATGTTATTTCTATAAATTTATCCTAAGGAAATAATTAAACAAAACACAGTGTACAATAAGAATACTCATCAGAACCTTAAACAGGGCTAGATGTGGTGGCTCATGCCTATAATCCCAGCACTTTGCAAGGCCAATGCAGGCAGATCACTCAAGGTCAGGAGTTCTAGACCAGCCTGGCCAACATGGTGAAAACCCTGTCTCTGCTGAAAATAAAAAATTAGCCAGGTATGGTGGTGCACACCTGTAATTCCAGCTATTCAGGAGGCTGAGGCAAGAGAATGGCTTGAACCCAGAAGGCAGAGGTTGCAGTGAGCTGAGATCATACCATTACACTCCAGCCTGAGTAACAGACCAAGACTCTGTCTCAAAAAAAAAAAAAAAGAACCTTAAACAGGAAAAAATGGCAAAGAACATAAATGTTCAACAGGAAACCATTCAAACAAACTACAGTATATACATGTAATGGAATACTGTGTCGCCATTAAAAACTAAATAAGCCTATATTTACTGGGTGGAAAGATATCCATCAGGAAGTAAGTCACAAAATGAGAAGATCCTATTTTAGCCTTCAAAATATTTTAATCTGTTTTCTAAATCATTTACTCCTATAATATGTCATATAATTTTACCCACAAATATACCCATGACAATATTTTTATACCAAGATAATTCATAATTTCTCCTTAATGTCATCAAATGGTCAACCCGTATTCAAACATTTGTCTCAAAAAACATTTTTTTAATAGTTTGCTCAATCAGGATTTAGGTAAGATCTATACATTGGACCTGGTTCATATGCCAATGTAGGGCTGAAGGCCCCACAGGGTCGTGGGGTGTCCCTTATGCTGTGCTGAGGCGCAGAATCCGAGAAATAAAGAGACAGGACATGGGAGTACAAGAATACACAGCTGGGCTCAAGGGGCCACGCCACCTATGAGCGGAGTCAGGCGAGGCCCCAAATGTCCAGAAGCATGAGTATTCATTGTGTATAGGCTGGGGGGCAGGGCAGTGAGTCAAATCATCTTTAAGGATAGTGATAGGGTCGTGAGCAATAAAATAAGGAGTCCAGCCCCATTAGGTCATCTAGGCCAGGAGGTGGACAGTGCACAGCAAGGGGCCCATTCCCATTAGGTCATTGAGGCAAGGGCCATGTGCAGTAAGGGGTCCAGCCCCATGAGGTCACCGAGGCTTGACAGTGGGCCATGCGCAGTGAAGAGGGTGCAGTGTGCAATACTTCTATCTATGGGCAAACTACTTCTAAGAAGATTTGTAGGGGGATGCTTTAAGTCACATAGTAGTAACAGAGGTGTCAGGGTTACCGCCACCTGCTGGCAGCTTCCAATGAGTTCTATGGGAAGATGCTTTTCGAGTAGCACAGTAGCAAGAGCTGATAAAGTTCACAGTCACCAAGGTGCGATTGCCGGTCTGAGGGCAGCCTTCCATGAGAACTGGAGCAAGGTCCTACAACTCCTTTATCAGGAGGACTGGCTCTTGCCCCAGGCCTGCCATACAGCGGGTATCTTTACCATACTGAATGCTGCCGCCGGGGCCATGGATTCTTGTCCTGGTAGAACTGTTTTTCCCTTAAATCATGCTCTGCACTGTATCTGCTCTAGGCATTCCTCTGATGATAAGCTGCTTCTTAATTCATGCTCTGTACTATGTCTAGGCATTCCTCTAATTATGAACTAAGATATACTTATATATATGTAGGGAAATATTTTTAGGCACTCAAACTATGAACTATTATATGATTATATATAGAGGATTATACAAAGGGAAATAACTGAGTAGTAACACTATAAACTGAGATATTCTTCTGGCCTTAATTCTATAAAGTAATAGATGATTGTATAAAGGATTATATAAAAGAAAGTAACTGCGTAGTAACACTATAAACAGATATTCTTCAAGCCCTAATTCTATAAACTAATAAATGATTGTATATAGGATTATATAAAAGGAAGAAACTGAGTATTAACACTATAAACTGAGATATTCTTCAGGCCCTAATTCTATAAACTAATATATGACTGTATAAAGGATTATATAAAAGAAAATAACTGAGTAGTAACACTATAAACTGAGAGATTCTTCAAGCCCTAATTGTGCCAGGGTTCTGCTTAGCTCTCCTTCCTCACTGCCTACATGGGGGGTTATCCACATTCCGCTTAAATGTCTTAATCTACAGGTTCTTTACTCCTTTCTCTACTCTTTTTTTCCCCTGCCGTCTATCTGTTGAAGGGAACAAGTCTTTTTTCATGTCGTTTCCCAGGCTCAGTATCATTTATCATGCTTCCTTGTCTCCTTTATTTTCTACATGTAATGATCAGATTTGCATTTGATTTTTTGACAAGAAACTTCATAGGTGGTATTGGGTACTTCCATTAAGAGACATATAGTATCAGAGGTCTCTGTAGGTAAAAGAGTTTATTTATGAACAATTCTGTCTTAAAAAGTTAAAGTTCATTACGTTTGTCCAGATTTGCACACAGTTAACAAGTAAAAGGTACCAAATCTTGTTTATCTATGTTGAGAAATATATACTAACAAATGACAAGCAAATGTCATCACAGGAGGATATTTTATACATTTCTTGAATCTTTAGCTTACCTCACCTCGAAAGCCATAGGTGGAAATACTGGCTAAATCCTCAAAGGACTGCAGTTTACTTGTAGTGAACCTCTCACATACAATATCCAGATCTTCTTTCTATTAGATACCAAAAAGACGAGTAAATAATTATGTTACTCATTTTTCCAAATCTTTTTGATTCAATTTTCTTGATTTAATCCAGGAAGAAAATCCCCTTAGAAGAGCTTTTTTTCTTTTTTTGAGACAGAGTCTTGCTCCGTCACCCAGGTTGGAGTGCAATGGCACGATCTCAGCTCACTGCAACCTCCATCTCCCAGGTTCAAGCGATTCTCATGTCTCAGCCTCCCGAGTAGCTGGGATTACAGGTGCGCACCACCATGCTTGGCTACTTTTTTTTTTTTTTTTTGAGACGGAGTTTCACTCTTGTTACCCAGGCTGGAGTGCAATGGCGCGATGTCGGCTCACCGCAACCTCCGCCTCCCGGGTTCAGGCAATTCTCCTGCCTCAACCTCCTGAGTAGCTGGGATTACAGGCACGCGCCACCATGCCCAGCTCATTTTTTGTAGTTTTAGTAGAGACGGGGTTTCACCGTGTTGACCAGGATGGTCTCGATCTCTTGACCTTGTGATCCACCCGCCTCGGCCTCCCAAAGTGCTGGGATTACAGGCTTGAGCCACCGCGCCCGGCCACTTGGCTACTTTTTTCTTGTATCTTTAGTAGAGATGCTGTTTCACCATGCTGGTCATTCTGGTCTCGAACTCCTGAACTCAAATGATCCTCCTGCCTTGGTCCCCCACAGTGCTGGGATTACAGGCATGAGACACTGCACCTGGCCTTAATTTATTGTATTTTTAGCAGAGATGACCACATTGCCCAGACTGGTCTCGAACTTATGAGCCCAAGCGATTCGCTCACCTCAGCCTCCCAAAGTGCTAGGACTACAGGTGTAAGCCACCACACCCAGCCTGAGAAGAGCTTTAAAATTAGCAGTAATTTCCTCATTTGGAACCCAGAATGCCACACGGTCCTGGCATTCCTCCTTTCTTACTAGGGGGCTCCTTCTCAGTCACTGCTGTTTCTGACTCATGTAGCCACTTCCTGACGTCAGAGTCACCCAAGACTCCGTCCTTGGACCTCTTCTCTATCTACACATACTCTCTTGATTATCTCATTCAGTCTCAGGGCTTTTGTTTAACTGACAAGCTTCTTTATTAAAAATCTCCAGGGCTGGGTGGGCATAGTAGCTCACGCCTATAATCCCAGTGCTTTGGGAGGCTGAGACAGGAGGATTGCTTGAGGTCAGGAGTTCAAGACTGGCCTCGGCAACAGAGCAAGCACCCATTTCTACAAAAATAGGAAAAAAAAATAGCCAGGCGTGGTGTGCGCCTATAGTTACTACTTTAGCTGGCTGAGATGAGAGAACTGCTTGAGCCCAGGAGTTCAAGGTTACAGAGAGCTATGCTCACACTATTGCATTCCAGTGTGAGTGACAGAGTGAGACCCTGCCTCTAAAAAAAGGGGGGGAAATCTAATCTTTTAAATTGCAGTAAAATATATGTAACAGAAAATTTCCCATCTTAACCATTTTTTAAGTATACAGTTCCATGGCATTAACTATCGTCACACTATTGTGTAACTATCATCATGGTCCAGCTCCAGAATTTTTTCATCTTCCCCAAAGGAAACTCTGTACCCATTAAACAATAATTTCCATTCTCTCCTCTCCTCCTGGCCCTAGGCAACCACCCCTCTACTATCTACAAATATGACTACCCTAGGAAACTCATGAGAGGAATCATACAGTATTTGTCCTTTTGTGACTGACTTATTTAACTTAACATGATGTCTCCAAGGTGCATTCATGTTGTAACATGTGTCAACATTTCATTTCTAGTTAAGGCTGAAATTATTCCATTTTGTTTATCCATTCCTCTATTGATGGACACTTAGGTTGCTTTCACCTTTTGGCTACTGTAAATAATGCTGCAATGAATATAAGTGTACAAATATTTGTCTGAGTCCCTTCTTTTGGGTATATACCCAGAAGTGGAATTATTGGATTATATGATAATTATGTTTAATTTTTTGAGGAATCACCACAGCCTGCACTATTTTACATTCCCACTCGCAATACACAGAATCCCAATCTCTACATCCTCGCAAACACTTGTTTTTGTTTTTGATAAGAGCCATCCTAATAGGTGTGAAGTGGTATCTCATTGTGGTTTTTATTTATTTCCCTAATGACTAATGATGTTGAGCATCTTTTAAGGTGAGTCTCATGATTTAATACCATTAACATGCAGACAACTACCAAATATTTATACCTAAATCTCTACCCTGCACTCCAAACTCACAAACATCCAACTAACAGGCATCTTAAATTGAACATGCCCCAAAATGAACTTCTGATCTCTCCAAAAATCTGCTTCTTCCAGTGTCTTTCCCGTCTTAGTAAGTGGTAACTCTTTCTTCCACTTACCAGGCCAAAACCTTGAAATCATTCCTGATTCCTCTTTTTCTCATACCCTTTATCAGCAAATTCTGAGAGCTTTGTCTCCATAATCAACCCAGAATCTCACTGCTTCTTTCATCTCTACTGCGACCAAGCGGTCTGCAGGACAGACTCCTTCAGCCCTGTCCTGCTATTTTCCATGTTGAAAGACAAAGGATAAAAAAAAAAACAACTCACCACAACCATGTAACCTCTGCTTAAAACCCTCTAATAGTATCCCACCACATTCAGAAAAAAACCTAAAGATTTTACCTTGGCCCACAAGGACTTTCATGCTTTTGCTCAGACCTCATCTCCGATTACTGTTTCCTTTTCAGCTTCTAGACAAACTGGCTTCCTTGACAGTCCTTCGACATGTCAGGCATGCTTCCATTTAATAGACTTTGCTTACATTGTTCTGTATGCCAAGAATACCTTGAAACAGCCACTCGACTTGCTACTTGACCTCCACCAGTCTCTCAAATATCACATCCACATTGAAGCCTTCCTGAACCACTCAATTTAATTCCATCCTTCCCGGCTTGCACACTGTTATCTCCCTCCCTGCTTTAGTTTTCCTCCATAGCACTTAATGTCACACTATTTATGTCTCCCACCACTACAACGTAAGCACCAGAAGTGAAATGATTTTAATCTGCTTTATTCACAGCCACATCCCCTGAACAATGCCCAGCAAAAAATAGGTACTCAACAAATATTTACTGTTGGTGTTGCGCTTTTCAATGAAAAAAATCCCATCTGCAAAAGCCTAGTTTCCAGAACAGTGAAAGGTCCTGCCTCTTCCATGAAGCACAAACATACTGCTACTCTGAGGTTTTACTTACCCTGATGCCAGTGCCATTGTCTTGGATCTGAATCAACTTCAGGCCTCCCTCTTTAACAACCACTTGAATACTTGTGGATTTTGCATCTAAACTGGCAAATCAAACAGAAAATAATTTATCAGTCTGCAACTACTCTAATGTACATATTTTAATGAGCCAAGCAATTATTAAAAAAAACTCCAAATAAATACAACAGTGCCCCATTAATGTGTTTCTTCTTTGTCTTACAGGCTCATACACTATGAGTTCACTTACTGTGTGAGAGAGAAGAAGAGGGAGTAGAGCGACTATCATTTCTAATAGATGTTCAGCACTATTTCTGTTCCTCTAGGAAAGACAGCAAGTGAAGTTAAAAATAGATTTATTTTGGCACATACCTCTTCTCAACTAATTTTACTTTTACCTGAACTTTATTCATCCTCAGGTACTTAGGTGACTCTAATGTCAGTAAAAAAACTAAAATTCTGGCCGGGCGCGGTGGCTCAAGCCTGTAATCCCAGCACTTTGGGAGGCCGAGGCGGGTGGATCACAAGGTCAAGAGATCGAGACCATCCTGGTCAACATGGTGAAACCCCGTCTCTACTAAAAATACAAAAAATTAGCTGGGCATGGTGGCGCGTGCCTGTAATCCCAGCTACTCAGGAGGCTGAGGCAGGAGAATTGCCTGAACCCAGGAGGCGGAGGTTGCGGTGAGCCGAGATCGCGCCATTGCACTCCAGCCTGGGTAACATGAGTGAAACTCCGTCTAAAAAAAAAAAAAAAAAAAACTAAAATTTTGAATCTTTTTCTCTACTATTCCCTTTTATATTATGATAGAGGGAAAAAAACAGTAATGCAGAAAGTTAATACATCTTTAAGTCTGGCAGATCACATGAGGTCAGGAGCTTGAGACCAGCCTAACCAACATGGAGAAATCCCATCTCTGCTAAAAATACAAAATTAGCCAGGCGTGGTGTCGCATTCCTGTAATCCCAGCTACTCAAGAGGCTGAGACAGGAGAATTGCTTGACCCTGGAGGTGGAGGTTGTGGTGAGCCGAGATCAAAACATTGCTCTTCAGCCTGGGCAACGAGCGTGAAACTCAGTTTAAAAAAAAAAAGAAATCAATAAATATTTTGTGCTTTCAAAAGAGTAGCCTACAAGCACAGACTACCTGCTAGAGAAAACAAATTTTCTAGCAGGGGCTGCATGAGAAAGAGTTATCTATTCCCCACACAGACAAGTCTTTATTCAGAAAAAAGACATTAGGCTGGGCATGGCGGCTCCTGCCTATAATCCCAACATTTTGGGAGGCTGAGGTGGGTGGATCACCGAGGTCAGGAGTTCGAGACCAGCCTGGCCAACATGGCGAAACCCCATCTCTACTGAAACTACAAAATTAGCCAAGCATGGTGCTGCACACCTGTACTCCCAGCTACCTGGGAGGCTGAGGCAGGAAGATAGCTTGAACCTGAGAGGTGGAGGTTATACTGAGCCAAGATCATGCTACTGCACTTCAGACTGGGCAACAGAGTAAGTCACCATCTCAAAAAAAAAAAAAGGAGAGAGATCCAAGATGGCTGTTTACTAGCAGCTCAGGATTGTAGCTCCCAGTGAAAGCGCAGAGAACGAGAGGACGCCACACTTTCAGACGAATTTTTGTTGCTCACGGACCAGGAGATTCCCAGTGGAGGAGACCCATGGGTCACCAGTGCGACTCTTGTGGCCGGCGCGGCGGTTCTTGGTGCAGAGTAAACGGGACTGGGTCCCCTTTTGGTTGACGTTTGGAGCTCTGGGAAGGCAGAGTCGCCTATTCAGCTGATTGAAAAAGGGACTCAAGAAGGAAGCCAGTTCGGAGATTCCCAGGCAGAAAAGCACCACGAATCTTAACACCGCTGTTTTGGCCGGGCAGTGGGTTGCTCGGATTCCGGCGCTGGGAATCAACAAGTTGGACATCCACTCAGAGACCTAATTTGAAAGTCGGTAATTACAAAGACGATAGGTACATAAATCTACAATGATGGGAAGAAATCAGTGTAAAAAGGCTGAGAATACCCAAAATCAGAATGCCTCTCCCGCTACAGGGGATCACAGTTCCTCACCAACAAGGGAACAAGGCTTAATGAAGAACGAATGCGTTCCATTAACAGATGTAGGCTTCAGAAGGTGGATAATAAGAAATTTCTGTGAGTTAAAAGAACATGTTCTAGCCCAAAGTAAAGAAACTGAGAACCTTGAAAAAAGGTTTGACGAAATCCTAACGAGAATAGACAATCTAGAGAGGAATATAAGTGAATTAATGGAACTGAAGAATACAATACGAGAACTCCGCAAGGTATGCACAGGTTTTAACAGTTGAATTGATCAAGCAGAAGAAAGGGTATCAGAGGTCGAATATCAACTTAACGAAATGAAATGAGAAGATTAGAGAAGAAAGAGTAAAAAGGAATGGGCAAAGTCTCCAAGAAATATGGGACTATGTGAAAAGGCCTAATTTGCGTTTGATAGGTGTACCTGAATGTCATGAAGAGAATGAATCCAAGCTGGAAAATATTCTTCAGGATGTTATTCAGGAAAACTTTCCTAACATAGTAAGGCAGGAAAATACTCAACTTCAGGTAATACAGAGAACACCACAAAGATATTCCTCAAGTAGAGCAACCCCAAGACACATAATCGTTAGATTCACCAGGGTTGAAATAAAGGAGAAATTCTAAGGGCAGCTAGAGAGAAAGGTCAGGTTACCCATAAAGGGAAGCCTATCAGACTCACAGCAGATCTCTCATCTGAAATCCTGCAAACTAGAAGAGAGTGTGGGTCAATATTCAATATCCTCAAAGAAAAGAATTTTTAACCCAGAATCTCATATCCAGCCAAATTAAGCTTCATAATGAAGGAAAAATAAAATTTTTCACGAACAAGCAAGCACTCAGAGATTTCATCACCACCAGGCCTGCTTTACAAGGGCTTCTGAAGGAAGCATGATACACAGAAAGAAACAAGCAGTATCAGTCATCCCGAAAACTTATCAAAGGGTAAAGAGTATCTCCATGATGAAGAATCTATATCAACAAATGGGCAAAATAGCCAGCTAGCATTAAACGACAATATTAAATTCATGAATATCAATATTAATCCTAAATTTAAATGGATTAAATGCCCCAATCAGAGAATAGGCAGGCAAATTGAATGAAAAGTCAAAACACATGGTTCGCTGTTTCCAGATCCATCTCATAAGCAAGGACGCAGAGACTCAAAACAAAGGGTTGGTGGAAGACTTGCCAATCAAATGGAGAGAAAAAAAAAAGAAAAAACAGGAGTTGTAACTTTCATCTCTGACAAAATAGACTTTAATAGTAACAAAGACTAAAAGAAACGAAGGACATTACATAATGGTAAAAGGATCAATATAACAACAGGAGTCAATGATCATAAATATATGTGCACCCAATATAGGAACACCCAGATACATAAGACAAGCTCTTAATGACTTATAAAGAGACTTGGACTCCCGCACAATAATAGCGGGAGACTCACACCACATTGTTAATATTCGATGGATCAACGAGATAGAAAATTAACAGGGACATCTATGATTTGAACTCAGATCTGGAATAAGTAAACTCAGTGAATATTTACAGAATTCTTCACCCCAGGTCCACAGAACTTACATTTTTCTCAGTATCATATTACACCTATTTTGAAAGTGACCACATAATTGGAAATAAATCACTCTTCAGTATTTGCATAGCATTTCACAGACTAAAATGAAATATTGGTTGGCTGTTTGTTATTTTCTTCCCTTATTCCTTCCTGTCTCCGCTGCTAAGTACAATTATCGGCATAAAAGAGGTTTTTAATATCTATTTTTATATTGCATTCCAGCCTGGGCAATAGAGCAAGACTCCTGTTCTCTCTCCCCCTTTCTCTTTCTTTCAAAAAAAAAAGAAAAAAAAAGAAAAGAAAAATAAAGGAGACAGTAAATTACCTAAACATTAAAGACCTTTCTCATGAGCCCCTGTAGTGAAGTTGTATTTAGTCATCTCAACTTATATACTAAAAAGGGCTACACCATCCAGGTTTTATAAGGACACACGATGGTGTTTGAAAAAAAAAAAAAAAAAAAAAAAAAAAGGGCATAACTGGACTCCATATAAAAATCTCCACTTAAGGAATTACAAGCCAGCAAGCTAGTATGTTATGTTTAGTTTTGTTTTATAGTATTCTGGCACAGTACAATAAAAGGCCCAGTTGTTCTGTCATAGCATTCTAACATAGTAGAAACAAAAACCGCTCTGCCACTGCTTCTACTACTACTATTACAAGTGAAAAGGAGAAAACATCCCCAGGTTTCTTGCTCCTTCTTTCATCTACCTTCCAATTCTCTTCCTTTCCTTCAGTGGTCCTCTCTACCCACTGATCTTTCAGTCCCATTGCCCTGAATAGTTTATACTTTCACAATAAATCCCTGTAGAAACCTACCACTCTTCACTGAAGCATTTTTTTTTCTATTAATGTACGGACTTCACTAACAACTGATTTTTAACAAAAAGGATCTGACATAACGTTTAGGTATATTTTGGGAATGGATTTTTGGAGGTTTACAGTCCACACTCACTTTTCCTTCCCCATGTTTCAAATGTCTTCCCTCCACATTTTTTTGTGACAGTTCTAAGCTTCAGAATCCACAGATGACCCATAAAATCTGGTTATCTTCGAAGTGCGCCCTCCCAAGCATAGGACAGGAAAACAATAAGTGGGGTCACTAATTTAACAACAGTGTAATAAGGTAATCAGAAATCAAGCCCAAAGTGCATCAGCCTGTCCTAACACTCAACTTTTTGTTTTGAATGAAACTCAAAATGAATTGTGTCTTTGGATATGTACAGATGATTTCTGGAATTAGCAAGAAAACAGTAACCTCTGAAAAACAGATTTTTTTCCCCATTCTAAGCTTTTTTACATCTTTTAACTTTGTATCTTCTGCACAATTTTAAATTAAGTGACTTCCTTAGTTAACAGTACCATTAAGACGACAGTAAGTATACTTCTCCACTCGCACCCGAATCACCCTTACAAGGTCTCGCGAGAGCGGTAAAGAAACACACGGTTGGCAGAAAAGGAGAAGGCCTGACTGGCACGCGCCAGGGGACCCCTTGGCCTCCGCCGTTGTGGGCATGCGCTGTACACACCTCTGCCCAGGGCAAGGTGTGTCCGCGCCATTAAGAGGAGCGGCCCGTTAAGTCATAGCCCTTAAATGAGCCCGAGTCGACTCCCTCCGTACCAGTTCTCAATCATCTCTTTGATAGCATTAGCGGGCCGCTGGATAACTTCCCCTGCCGCGATGCGGTTCACCACCGTCTCGTCCAGCCGCCGAATAACCCCAGCCACGAACGACATTTTGGCGCCAGAGAAGCCCAGGAAACGTCTAGATGCTCACCGGAAGTGCCTTCAGCCAATCACCTCAGTGCCTCGGGCCTACGTTCTTCCTTCAGCTGTAGCTTACGCCATCCAGCCCCACCCTTCAGAGGCAGCTATTGATTGGACAATTTGAATGCCAGTCAAATTTCTCAACTCTGTGGGTTGCTGAGTCTCTTCGTCCCTCCCTCAAGCGGCTGCTGCCCGCTGCCTAGAAGGATATGCGCTTGCGCTTTAGAAATCACTGTCCGATCTTCCTATTGGTTCGTTCTTAGGAGCTCGGGGAATACGAAATATCCAGCCAATAGGAACTGAGATACCAGAGCCGGGCCTGTGTGCCTCCGCTGAGGTGATCTGGCGCAGAGCGGAGGAGGTGCTTGGCGCTTCTCAGGCTCCTCCTCTCTCCTTGCGGCCTTTCTAACGTTTTGGCCCTGCTCTTGTGGCCTCCCGCAGAATGTGGATGACGCCCAAAAGAAGCAAGATGGAAGTCGACGAGGCTCTAGTTTTCCGGCCGGAGTGGACCCAGCGTTACTTGGTTGTGGAGCCGCCGGAGGGCAACGGGGCCCTGTGCCTAGTCTGCCGCCGCCTCATCGTAGCTACCCGCGAGCGCGACGTCAGGCGCCACTACGAGGCTGAGCACGAATACTACGAGCGGTATGTGGCGGACGGCGAGCGCGCGGCCCTGGTGGAGCGTCTGCGTCAGGGCGAATTGCCCGTGGCCTCGCTCACTCCTGAAGAGAGAGCTGCTCGTGCAGGCCTCGGGCTCTGCCGCCTCTTGGCCTTGAAGGGTCGCGGTTGGGGTGAGGGGGACTTTGTACACCAGTGCATGGAGGTGTTGCTGCGAGAGGTACTGCCCGAGCACGTAAGCGTCCTGCAAGGCATTGACTTATCTCCAGAGAGCGCAAGGCAGAGGATCCTGAGCATTGACAGGAATCTACGCAGTCAGCTTGTTAACCGAGCCAGGGACTTCAAGGCCTATTCTCTTGCCTTGGACGACCAGGCTTTTGTGGCCTATGAGAACTACCTCCTGGTCTTTATCCGCGGTGTGGGCGCCGGGCTGGAGGTGCAAGAAGATCTTCTGACCATCATCAACCTGACTCATCATTTCAGTGTTGGTGCACTCATGTCGGCAATCCTAGAGGCCCTGCAGACAGCAGGGCTTAGCTTGCAGAGAATGGTTGGACTCACCACGACCCACACTTTGAGGATGATTGGTGAGAACTCAGGACTCGTCTCATACATGAGAGAAAAGGCTGTCAGCCCCAACTGTTGGAATGTGATTCATTATTCAGGATTTCTTCACTTGGAACTCTTGAGCTCCTATGATGTAGATGTGAATCAGATCATAAATACCATATCCGAATGGATAGTTTTGATTAAGACCAGAGGTGTTAGGCGACCTGAATTTCAGACTTTGCTAACTGAATCTGAATCAGAGCATGGCGAAAGGGTTAATGGACGATGTCTGAACAATTGGCTTAGAAGAGGGAAAACTTTAAAACTAATATTCTCTCTAAGAAAAGAGATGGAAGCGTTCTTGGTTTCAGTAGGGGCAACAACAGTCCACTTCTCAGACAAACAGTGGCTTTGTGACTTTGGCTTCTTGGTAGATATTATGGAACACCTTCGAGTACTCAGTGAAGAATTGCGAGTTAGTAAGGTCTTTGCTGCTGCCGCCTTTGACCATATTTGTACTTTCGAAGTTAAGCTGAATTTATTTCAAAGACATATTGAGGAAAAAAATCTAACAGACTTTCCTGCCCTCAAAGAAGTTGTTGATGAGCTAAAACAGCAAAATAAGGAAGATCAAAAAATATTTGATCCTGATAGGTATCAAATGGTGATCTGTCGTCTACAAAAAGAATTTGAGAGACATTTTAAGGACCTCAGGTTCATTAAAAAGGACTTAGAACTGTTTTCAAATCCATTTAACTTTAAACCTGAATATGCACCTATTTCAGTGAGGGTGGAGCTAACAAAACTTCAGGCAAACACTAATCTTTGGAATGAATACAGAATCAAAGACTTGGGGCAGTTTTATGCTGGATTGTCTGCTGAATCTTACCCAATTATCAAAGGGGTTGCCTGTAAGGTGGCATCCTTGTTTGATAGTAACCAAATCTGCGAAAAGGCTTTTTCATATTTGACTCGAAACCAACACACTTTGAGTCAGCCATTGACAGATGAGCATCTCCAAGCCCTGTTTCGGGTTGCCACAACTGAAATGGAGCCCAGTTGGGATGATCTTGTGAGAGAAAGAAATGAATCGAATCCATAAGGCTTTGTAGTGCAAGATTGAGAAACTCAACAAGAATTTAATTCTAAAAGCAAAAATTGGTTTGAGTTTTCAAGTTTACTAATTTGGATTGTGAGAAAGCACCACGTACCAGCCGTCCAAACTGATCACAATTCAAATTCTGACAGTTGCCTTTTTTTTTCATCTCAAATGGCAGCATGGGACTGAAACATGAAAATGCCACCTTTTTTAAAACTTAGTTTAATGACGAAGTCATTGTCTTTTATGATATAGTTAATTTTAAAGAGATTTAGTATTAATTATGTGAGTTGAATTTGCAGTCTGTTTTTTAGGTGTTCTGAAGATATATGCCAAAAATTTCAACTCTTGTTTTAATGGAGTGCTAAAATTCTGATTCATATAATCTTAAATTATCAACTCCTTAAACGTGCTTTTGAACCAATTTGCAGAAACTCACATAGCAAATTCATAAATTTCCAAAAAGGAAGACCATGCATACAGTGGCGGTGTTTTGTCTAACCATCAAAATGTTTGAGATTTTTTTTTTAAACATTTCTGAGTCCGAAGGTAGTATTGACAGATTTCTTTCCTCTTCCCTCCCCATCACCCACCTCAGTGATAACTGACATAACTGATAGAGGAAGTAATTAGAATCATTTTTAAGTTGCTGATATAGGAGACTTCCTGCAGTTTGGAGATAAGACTAATTATTGGGGGTTTTCCTTGAATTTTTTTTTATAACTGGGGGCTATTTTATCAGCTTGCCTATTAAAGGACTATGGTAAGTATAGAATCTTAATGGTTGCCAGGTAGTAGTTTTTTTTTTTTTTTTTTTTTTTAATACTGTAAACAGAAGTTTGGCCCTATCAAAAAGGATGAGGAAAAAAGATGCTTGCACTCCAGGATTAGGAGATGTGAGATATTTTAGCTTTTTTGTCTTATCTGCATGGGTGTTATTGCTTTATTTTTTAAAATCCTGCTTAAAAGAAACACTTTGTTTTAAAATGATACAGTATCAGATTTTGTTAGATACTAGAAATAGATTTATTCTAGAATTTGCAACTGTCTTACACATTCTATATTTAAGACAGCACACAAGTAGAAATATTTAAAAGCAGTCTTATTCACAGATTGCAGTAATTCTGTATTTCTAGTAAGATATCTGCTTTGTGCCAAAACAGTAATTTCCAAACTTCTGTTAACCATGAAAAGGCAATCTTAAGTTTACTATGTAAAACTAATTGTAAACAGGATCCAATTTATATTTATAGATCCTCTCAAGTATTAATGCAGTTTAAAAACTCTTGTTCCAAAGTCCTGTCTTAACTATTGAAACACCTTAATCTGTGGTTACTAATGCAGCAAATTCAAGGAACCAGGCTACAACTAAGAATTTGGATGGAATTGTTGTCCGGGCAATCAAAATAAATTCCATAAGGGCCTAAAAACGAAAGTTTTGCCAGTGGCTTTCAACCAGAGGTGGCAACCTGTCCTCCCAGAGGATGCTGAGAAATGTGTAGAGGCACTTTTTTGTTTGTTATATTTAGGAGCTTCTGTTGGCATTTAAGCCTAAAGACCTTCACCTGCTACAGTGCATGGGCCAGCCTGGCACAATGAAGAATTATCCCTCCCAAAATGTAGATTATTTTATTTCAAGGGACAGGGCAGATAACTGGTTGAAGCAAAATTAAAAGCACAAGTTAGGCAAACTGACAGAATACTAGGTAGGAGAGACTAATTCTAACCTTCCAGATTTGGCTGGTAAAGTGCAATAAAGGCATTGATAAGATCTGTTAACTCACAATATTCCTTGTAAATCAGGAATTAATATTGAATCCGATTTAAGGGCTCTGCCTTGTTGTACATATTTAAGACAAAAAGTTACATGTTGATAAGGTACTTATCAAGAATGGTCAAGTTGAGATTTTGGTTAATAGAGTAAGCTTACATATCTGGAAAAACAACAGTGGGAAACCGAAAAAACAGCCAAATCCACCAGTATTTTCCTAATAGCTTTGAATATTCATAGCAGAGCTTTATTACTTGAGAGAAAGATTGGAAGACCTGAAAGCCACTTCTGCTTTCTAACCCCAGTTCTTTAAATATTGAAATCTTGTATATTTTGTGAAGTTCCAGTATGTTTTGCTTAAGGTGTTAATAAAATTAGTTTGTATCATATAGTCATTGAGGGGGAGATACAAGCCAAGGATTTGAAATTGACCCTTAGCTATAGAGAATTTGCTATAAACTAGTCTTGTTTGAAAAAAAAAAAGTGTATTTTACTGTTTTCTGTGTTAAGTAATTCTGTAACTGCATGGCAGTCTTTTTTTTTCTTATATATATATATATATATATAAATATAGTTGTTACTGGTCCTGTTGTAACAGTGAATATAGTTAAAATGAGTACCTTTTAAAAAAACTCTTATGTCCTTACCAGTTACTGCCCTATAGCTCATTCCTACTAGTTTTCTTGACAAATTTGTATTCCCAGTCTCCTGTATTGCCACTCAAATTGCTCTACTAAGCTCATTAAGTCCTTGTTAATAGTCTTACCCTCCTTGAAACACTTGATGACTTTAGCTTTGAGGAGATTCATCTCTGGGTATGCTTTCTTAGTCTTTGTAGGCATCTCTTTCCTTAAATATCTGTTTTTTCTATGTTTAAAAAAATTTGTTTCAGACTGCCTTATTCTATGTCATCTTGCTAGCTGATCTCATTTCTTTCCATGGCTTCATTACCACCTATATGCAAATAACTCTCAGATTCATTATCTCCTTTC